AGATAGTCTTGTCCAGCCCTCTGCTCACAGCAGGCCCCTACAGATTGGGTCACTCAGGGCCATACTCACGTGAGTTTTGGCAATATGCAAGGATGGAGATTATACAGACTTTCTGGACAGCCTTTTCTGGTCCTCAGCCACTTCATTTTTTAAAAAACAAACCCAAACCTTAATCACCGTGCACTTTTCAGAAAAGTGTTCCCCTCTGTTCTCTGTCTTCCTGCTAGATATCTGCAAGGGGCAATAAGATCTCTGCTGAGTCTCCTTCAGGCTGAAACGTGGTTAATGCAACCTGCACTGCATAGAGAAAGACCCTCAGTATTTGGTGCCTGGGTCTTTACCAGAAGCGTATGAAAGAAACAGTACCAAAACAGGTTTGAGTTCACAGATTGATCCAGTCCACGGATTCAGAGTCTCCATTCCCTGATTGAACTGTGTGTCGTGGCGTGCAAATACCTCCGGTTCCTGCAGCCTGCTGAAGCTCCATGGAACCTCAGGGCTGGTTCTTCAGCAGAGAATTGGGATGGAAACCATGCAAAGGTCAGCTCTGACCAGGGACAGTTGCTTGCGGTTGTGCGTGCTTATCTGAGTTCATGGTCTCACTTCACTCACAGTGAGTTCTGTACTCAAACAAAACCAAAAGTAAATATGCCATTTTAAATGGTGTATTGTTAGATTGGTGATGATATGTCCAAAGTCCAATTTTTATTTTTTTTTACAATCAATAGTGATTTGTTTTAAAAGGGAAAAAATATTCCCAGCTTTTTAATGCTTCATTTCCAGTAAGATGTCCTTTGTGTACCAGCTGTGTGATCAGCATTGTACAGGCAAGATACTGGCATAAATGCTTTCTTTGTTAAAAGTCAGAATGCAAGTCATGCATACAGGGCATTAAGTATTAATTTTTGAGGTTATCCTTCCTGAGAGTCTTTGAGCAGTGATGTAAACTCACCCTTGCAACAGTTACCACAAACCAAAACTTTGAAAGTAAGGCTTTTTTCAAATCTTGAAGTATTTGTAGCCCATTTCTTTTTTTCACTTGTGACAGTCTTGCATTAAAAGACTGTGTTGGATTACTGGTCCTAGAGGTTTCTTTCTGAAGGGGCAAAATGTTCTTAAGCAGTCAGATAAGTATTTGCTCTGTTGATCCAGGTTCTCCATAAACTCTTCACCAGTGAGACCTTGTGGCACAGATGTGTCACGGTTTAGCCCCAGCCAGCAACTAAGCACCACGCAGCCGCTTGCTCACCTCCCCCCCTTGCAAGGTGGGATGGGGGAGAGAATTATAAAAAAAACCTCAGGGGTTGAGATAAAAACAGTTTAATAGGACAGCAAAAGAAGAGGACACAACAATGATAACAATAATAATATTACTGATAAAGGAATATACAGAAACAAGTGATTCACAATGCAACAATTGCTCCCCACCTGGTGACCCATAGCCTGGCCCCGAGTAGCTATTCCCACCCTCTGGCCAACTGCAGTTTATATACTGAGCATGACATCATACGGTATGGAATAGCCCTGTGGCCAGCCTGGGCCAGCTGTCCTGGCCGTGCCCCCTCCCAGCTCCTTGTGCACCTCCCCGCTGGCAGAGCGTGGGGAGCTGAAAAGCCCTTGGCCGAGTACAAGCACCACAACTACTTGGCAACAACTGAAACATTCAGTGTGTTATCGGCGTTACTCTCATACCAAATCCAAAACACAGCGCTGTACCAGCCATCAGGAAGAAAAACCAACTCTATCCCAGCCAAAACCAGGACAAGTAACACAGAGATTGTGTGCTAACTCTTCTGTATCTGTTCCTAGCCTCCAGCATCCATCCCTCCCCTTGCTTCCAAATAAGTGGCAGCACTATACTGATTTTATGACTGTTGGCAGCCTAGAAGTAAGTCTATAGAGTATCCCACTAGGTTTGTCCATTGAGCAATGCCAGGTCTCTCTCTCTTTTCTGTTTTTGTTCTGCAGCTGCAATTCTGGAAATGGTTGAAATCGGGTATCCAGAGAGAATTTATAAAGCGTGCCCTGGCTTTCCATAACACCTAATGGCAAGCAGCTTAGAAGGGCATCCTTTCTGAAGCTGTAAATCAGTCTGTTTGGTCTGCCTGAGAAGTGCTTAGGTTTTTTGGTTTTTTGGTACCTTGGGGGTTGACTAAGTATATAAGTTTTTTAATGTTGCTTTCTGAAGTGATACAGAATGTAGAAATTGTCTAACAAGTCCAGTAAATTTTTAGTTTGTAAAAGACTTGATGTTCATGGGAAAACTGAAAATACTTCCATATATTTTTCCATAAAGACTTCAAATTTTTTTTGGAAAAGCGTTAATGACTTCAGCCTTTCTGCAGCTCATGTCTCTGTCAAATGTGCCCAGCTGATGTATTTCACTATAATGTTCAAAACCTGTTATTTTGGGACTGTATGATAAATATAGCAGTATGCCTGTACCTTTGTAAGGTCAGGGAACTTCCCCTTCTTCTAACTCATCTTTTGAACTACCAGGTGCCTGGTATTTTTTGCTAATGAAGCTGGCCATGGAATCTGTGTGGCCTCCTTGGGGCCCCTTCTGTTTTCATACCTATGTCCCTTAACGACTGAGCCATGGGTAGCTTTAGCCACTTGACTGCTTCTGCTGGCCTCCTGCCTCGACGCTGGCCACGCTGGTCCCAGCTGCTGCGAGACAGCAGCCTGGCAGCAGGGCTCTCGGCCATCCCTCAGCTCTGTGGTGCTTGGTGCAAAGCTCGTCCGGTTTGGTATTTTATCGGGAGAAGGTGCATGTTAAACCGGGTATTTCCCTGTTGTTAGCTGGGCCATGGGACGCTGAGGGTTAAAGGACATCTCACTTAAACGCTATGTATCAGTTACGGATATAATTGGCACGTCTTCAAAACTTGTTTTAAAATAACCGGTATATTTTATTACCGGAGGGAAATGTATGAGTGGATTATATCCAGTTGTATAATGCAATCACATCCTGCTCTGCAGTGTCTCTTACTAACGCTGTAGCGACGGGGTTCCCCATCTGCTTTTGCAGTGAGTTCACCAAGGGCAGCCTCTGAGCTAAGAAGCTGTTACAGCTGTCGGTGTCCCCCTCTCTTTTCAGCTCAGCAGCAGTATAGAGCCGGCTTTGTGCCGCTGCTATGTATAAGGTCCTCTGTACCGTTTTCATTCCAGCTTCTGATTTACTACAGGATTTCTGGCTGATGCTGGTTAGATCCGTTTTTACACCGACGATCTTCCTGATGTATTCTGTGAGGCTGGGCGCGAGAGCAGCAGAAAGCAAGCTTTGGTGCTTACCTGGCTGGGTTGGTGATGATGTCTCTGGCCATAACTGGTACTGCAAGTAGCTCGGAGGTGGCTGGCCCTAACCTGTCACTTTGTGCAGAGCTGTTTCTGCCGCATCCGTCATGTGTAGCTGTAAAATGCTCCGGAGTCATTAGGGGCCCGCTTGTATAAACCTCCCTATTTAAGTTGTCAGCATTTGAAATTTCAGTAAGTAGATTTATCTTGCTGAGGGGGTTTCTTCCCCTGTGTTCTCTTTGAGTATGTACTTCTCTTTTCAAAATAAAACACATCTTAATCTTCCAGTTACTTTTTAATGACCTTGTTGCTGCTGTGTTCTCTTGAGCGTAGAGAAAGAGGGCCGGAGGCAAGTGGCCCGCTAGTGTCACAGCTACTACCTGCTGTACCTTCTCTTGCCTTAAAACTATTTTTCCACTCTGAACTTGGTTGGCTTTTGTCGGGTGCAGTTTGGTTACTCTTCACACTATGCCATAAAGATAAGTCTCAGGGCTTTTTGTGGTGTGTGGTAGGATTTTTTACTTTGTTATATCTCATTTATTCTCTGGTTATTACCCATCAACTTCATTTGCCACCTGGGGAAACAGATCTATGGATGCAGATTGAGTGTCACAAAGAGCAAAACCAGCATTGACTACTGACTTGTCAATAAATGGATCAAACATCCATCTTCGTCTTGCAGTTGTCTGGAATGAGAATTAAATTGCAGATAGTCTTAAGGAGACAGGGGAGCCTTTAGTAAGTGGGTATCAATTTGTTTGATTTGTTTGTTTTGATTTGACCAAAACCACTTTGACTGTTCTTATGTTTTCTCTGCAGAACTGGAGTCTTGTTCTTTTCTTAGCACATTGTAAAAGGAACGGTGCTCAGTTAAAACCTTGTGCTTCTCCAGCCTCCTGGCATGGCCCTTCCACTAGGCTACAAATTATTTTTTGTCATTGTGTTTGATGCATCCCTTATTGATAGTGTTTTCTGGTTGGATTTTATCTAGACTGGCTGAGTAGTTCTTCCTATATTCCTGAATCTCAGTGCTCTTACGATTTCTCATTTTTTTACCGTACTTTATTTTTGTTTTCGTGAAATGTGGAAAGTGCTTGCAAAAAACATGTAGCTGGCTTCTTTGTGCATGCCATCTGAATTCTAGTTGTGAAGTTTGCAGGGTATGTGGCAGACCGTGCAACAAGCATTGCTTGCTTGCTTAGAATTGCCAGGCAAAAAAGCTGCATCCTTGCTGCAGCCATAAAATCTTACGGCAAACACCAGGGTTTCAGCTCAGTTATGGTCATGTGTTTTCCGCAGTTGTTACTTGCCAGCAATGGTGGAACTGCTCGGGTCTGCCCTTGGGCAGGTGAAATGCATTCCGTGTGTCCTAGTGCTTAGCTTCTCGTGTAACTCGGGGTTTAAGCGTTAGAGGTGTGAATGAGAGTGAGGAGGACAAAACACAAAATGGGGTATTTTGTTTGTTGCTTCAGGGGGATACCGGATTTTATAAATTCATTGGTAGTTTTGATGTGCTAAGAGCCTCTCTTCCTCTGCAGGGAACTGATAGTAACTAGTCACTGCAAAATGTTTATGATGGACGTACGCTTGCAGCGCTCATGCATTGTACCTTGGATGTTATTTGAAACTAGAAGGTTAGGGACAGGAGTAGCAGATCAGCCTCATAGCTTTGTGTTGTGGTTTTTTTTTTAATTCTCTTCCAGGACTCATAGTTGGGGTGATCTTGAGATATGGGACTCCCTCCACCAGCGGCCATGACAAGCCGTTCAGCTGCTCGCAGGAGGACAGGCCGTTTACAACCCTGCTGGTCAACGTCAGTGGGAAGTTCTTTGAGTATACGCTCAAAGGGGAAATAAGCCCTGGGAAGATCCACAACGTGGAGCAAAATGACATGTTGCGAAAGGTGAGGGTAGATGGTTTCTTGTGCTTGGCTGAGTGTTTCTCATTTATCTGTGCTTCCTCCCTCCTCCCCCCTCCATCCCATTTGAATGTTGGGTAGTATCAAGTGTCTGTATTCCTGATAGTAACAGCACTCCAATGCTTAATTCACAAGTATTATATTGCCACCAGTGAAACTGTGCTCTGTTGCATGTATGTAATGCTTTCCCAAAGCCCTTGATTGCTGTTTGAAGACTTAATGTACGTTTCTGACATCCGTGACAATTCACGGAGACCAGCTGAACAAAAAAAGCCTGATGCTGCCTTGTATAATTCAATATAAGGAAAATGATAGTTTCTTAGTGAAAAAGTGATTGTTTGTTGGTGTTTTTTTTCCTTAGGGTTTTTTAATCTGTTTATTGTCAGGAAATAGTTACTGCTTACATCCCTATAATCCACCAAATGAGATAGTCTGGTATTGGAAGTGAAATTTATCTATGAACTGTTACTGGGATCTGCTGTTTGGCTGCTTACACTATTCAGTGTAAGGAATTAACCATCTTTTGCATGTATCCAAGCTAGACTTTGAAGTATAGGATTGAGACTTTAAGCTTTGTAACCTAAAAATACTACTGTCTGCTGACTATGAAGAGAGTTTAGGTGTCTGTTTATAGATATCTATAGCAGACAGGTACATAAAGGTAGCTGAAATGAATCCTATTCTGGGAGTGCACACTTGTGTTTGTCTTCTAACCGGTGCTTAGAGAAGGGGTGAAGAGAGCATGATTAGTCTCACATGTGTGCAGGTCTTCTGTTTGGATTTTAAATGTTGTTTTTTGTTCCTTACTGTAGTGTAGTCTTTCCTGGATATCTGGAGCTTCTACTGAAATACATGGAAATGATGTATGATCCCAGTTCCTGAAAACCAGTCTTGTATCTGATTTGATTGGCTTACAGTAACTGTGCAGTGGCTAGACTTGCAAAAAAACCCATAAGCCAAAATAACATTTAATCCTCAGATACACAAGATCATGTACCACAATGAGAGATCTTCTTCAGAGTAATTTCTATTAGAATTTTTTAATTTCAAAAAGGGGACTGTGTTTGGGACTGCTGCAAGATTATCATTGGTGATGGATGTAATGCCTGTTTCTTCTCGATGCCGTTTGCCAAGAAGACCTGCAGCTTTTCACTGCTGCGTATGTATAGAGCTGGCCAGTATTTTGGAGGGTCAACATAGCTATTTCAACAACCAAAATAGTAGTTGTCAGAAAATGAAGGAGGAGAAAGACCTAATAATTTATGTATGTCTGTTTCTAATTGAAGTTTCATATTTTATTTTTTAGGTAACATTTGACCCAGAAGTTTTTTTCAACATTCTGTTGCCTCCTATTATTTTTCATGCTGGTTATAGCCTGAAGAAAGTAAGTGTAATCATTTCTGAGGAGAATAGCTCCCCCCTCCCCCCCCCTTTTTTTTTGTTAACATGAGACTGATTTGTTCAGAAGTGCAGTCTCCATTCCAAGCATTTTTTTTTTTTTATGGCAGTAAGAAAAATTTAATTTCCTCCATAGATGGTTAGGTCATATTGTTTTAAGAGAAAATATGTGTGCTTTTTACTATTAACAGATTAAACTATTTAATCTTGCTGATTTGTTTTCCTTTGAACTTTACCAGAGGTTAACATCACTTTCATTAAAAGTAAAAGATATCCTGCTGTGAATTGTTTTGGTCCTTCTCAAATATCCAAAATGCAGTAAATTATGCTGAGAAGTGGACCCAAACCTGAATCGCAGTAGGGATCTGCCAGACTCTGAATGGCAGAAGGGCCCAGATTCTGCTCTCGCTTGAAGACACCATGAGTTGGTGCTGGTTTTCAGTCTTGCAGCTAACTCTTACATCTCTTATGAAAATGCCCGTGTGGAAAGCTTCCTGTCAGTAAGCTACATGTAGCATTTAATACATGGTTCAGATTTGGTTTATTCAATTTGTTGAAGTTGGACAGAATTTACATTGTAGTAATTGAAGCGCTTCTCTGAAATGGAGGAGGTTTTTTGTGTATTAATGCAAGTCTAGTAGTGCGCTGTATGTTTTTGAACAGGTGATACAACTTGTTTTAAATAAGTATATAAACCTGTTTTTCCTTTGCAGAGACACTTTTTCAGGAACTTGGGGTCCATTTTGGCTTACGCCTTTTTAGGAACAGCAGTCTCTTGTTTTATTATTGGGTAAGTGAACTCTGTTCTGTAAGTATCTTACTTACTTACAGTCTTTCTTACTGTCTTACACTTACTATCTGTAAGTGATATCTGTTCCTTTCTATACTAAAGTTTAAGTTGATAAAGTGTATGTTGAGCCTTCCAGATTGCCTCAGTTTTGTAATTTGTTTGAGGATTTTATTTATGTATCCTCCAGACAAAATGCAAATGTAACTTTTTTTTCTGAGACTTATCCCACTTCTAAAAATACTGTCCCTTGAAATGATATTGTCAAGTTTGAATCACTTGACAAGTCCACAGTACTAAAGAGAGGCACATGTGTGTGTGCGTGCTCTCTTTCTCTCTGCATATGTGTATATATGATTTTATGTGCATATGTACACACACATTTAGTTTAAGATAGCTAGTCACGTTGGTTTACTTGCATACAATCTCTTATGCTGCTAATACTACTGTGTGTGGTGTGTGGATATTCTCAAATACAGAAATCCTGAATTGCATAGGTGACCCTGGTTTGCGTCTCAAAGAATTTCACTAGAGAAGTATTTTGAAGGCTATTCTTAGCCTAGAGCTTTTGGTCTATGTGCTGTGTTGGGATAAGCAATATTGAGGGGAATTTTGAGCAGTGAAATGCTCTCTTGTGGAAAAAGGAAACAACTCGTTGATTCTTTGTACTAGTTGTGCAAACAGATTTCATGCTTTGCTTACTGGTTTTAAATTATATCTGCTGGATCATGTATCACTTGACTCAGTTCATAGCGAAAAGAGGAAAATTAATTTTGAGAGCTTAGTGTTAAACTGTGGCAGTGTCCCAGAGAGCTGTAGCATAACCAAACCCACCTGAAATATGCTTGCTTGTGCTTTTCCTTTGCCTGACTGAAATGCACCAACTTGTGTGACTTGTACTATTTTCTCCTCCTTCTCTTCAGGAATCTCATGTATGGGGTTGTGAAACTAATGAAGTTGGTGGGTCAGCTCTCTGATAAATTCTATTATACAGACTGCCTCCTTTTTGGAGCGATAATATCTGCCACTGATCCAGGTAACTTGCTGAATGTTTTTAATAACCTTCCAAAATAATCCTATTGCTAGGACTTTTGGCTGCGTAGTACAAACATGTTAACAGCACTTTATTTTCAGTTATGTTATGCTAGTATCTCTGATCCTCTTCTCTGAAATGCGTGCAAATTCTGAGTATTGTGAAAGCTGTTCTGTGTCTGTTTGGTGCTGGACTGGTATGACATGATGGTATGTTTGGGGAAAAGTGTAACTTTGCTGTTCAAATACTTAAAATATTTTTTTTTCCCCCGGTAGTGTTTTTTTCTTTAATATGCATCAAATTTAAGACTGAAAATAGATTAAATTATTACATTGTCTGCATAGCAGAACTTTTTAGCTACGTTGCTTGGGACATTGGATAATTTCAGAGCAATATTTGAGGTTTTTAGGCTCTTTAAGTGTGGGGAATTTTTTTTCCCCCCTTCAAATGAACTTTATATTTACAAGTTTAAGTGGAAGAATGCTCTTCTGGTGAAGTAATTTGAGCTTTTGCCAAAATAATCTAGTCATCCTTCAAAGACCAGCAGGCTCACCTAGGGGTGTCTGCTTGACAGGTCAGCCTGGAGAGCTGGTGTGTGTCAGGGGATGGGATAGGGAGTGGTGAAGTATGAAGCTTGAAATTTAAAACAGCTTATTTGAGGTGCTCAGCGGTGATTTGTGCAAAAATGGGAAGTAGCTCTTGTGATTGAGCTGAGCTCTGAACAGGTGGTGGTTGCACACAATTTATGCAAAAAAAACACCATGTGATTTTTGAAGCTTATATATGGGAACACCTTCAAGATCATAGTCTTTCATCTCAGACTGAAGTTTCTTGAAAGGATGGTTATAAATACTTAGCAGTCTTGCCCTTTTCAAATTCTGTGCAAATGCACACTCCTGTGGCATAGCATGTGCTTTGAGGAACACTTAGAATTATTAGCGCTATTTTATAATGGCTGAAATAATATAGCTATGTCAGCAATCCATACAGCCTTTAAAAGTAGCAAGAGCTGCACAACGTTTTGTTGATTATCTTGTATGGAACGTGTTCCACAAAAAAAGATCAGGGCTTTGGTAGAAGTGCTTTGACTGCCCCATGCCCCTTGATCATAGGGGCTTTCCCATAAACACTGTGCAAATGGGAGGACAAGAGAGCCACCTCCTAATGAAGCTGCCCTAAAACTGATAGTGGAATTACTTGCCTATAGATAAACGTGACTACTCTATTTCCCAGTTTAATTTTGATCTTGTGCTTCAATTCCTCATTTTTGTTGCTTTTGGCAAACTGGAAAGTCTGCTCCAGCTCACGCAGTTGTTCCTGAAGTCAGCCACTGTGTTTTTTCTCTTTTCTTTCTGTAGTTACCGTGCTAGCAATATTTAATGAGCTGCATGCTGATGTCGATCTCTATGCCCTTCTGTTTGGGGAGAGCGTGTTGAATGACGCTGTTGCCATTGTGTTATCTTCGTAAGTAACTACCTGAATTTCTACTCTGAAAGTACTTAATTGCTTTTGGTAGTTGTCTAAAACAAATGCTTTTTCTGAGAAATGTTATTTTAAATTTAAATGGATTTTCTTGAACTGAATTAATAAACATTGCAAACATTTGCTGAGATCCCTCATGCATACATATGCCGGAAAGGCGAATGTGCCTTCAGTATGGGATTGTCTCTTCTGTTGCTCAGGTGTTGCTGTTAGAGGAGAACTTTCCTGATGCTGCTTCTAACTTCTCACTGAGTTACTCTCTTTCTAGATCTATAGTTGCCTACCAGCCAACAGGTGAAAACACCCATGCTTTTGATGCAGCAGCGTTTTTCAAGTCTGTTGGTGTTTTCCTGGGAATATTCAGTGGCTCTTTCATGATGGGAGCAGTGACAGGGGTTGTGACAGCTCTGATATCCTTTTTCATGTTTAGCTCTTCCAGACTGGATGCCACATTCATGTACTATCAGGGCTCAACTATTTCCAACTATAGCAATGTTGACACTAACTTCGTTCTAATCTGAGTGTGAAGATGTGATCAGTATTCATGTAACCTTTGTCTATAAAAAGATCTATAGGTACCCACAGAGATCACCCTTTTTACAATATAACTCTGGCCACACTAGAAATTTTAGTGATGTTGCTGTATACTGCAAGCCAAGGAGAGGCCCAAAATGGTCATGTCCTAATATTCAGTTTCTTTTTAGGAAATTAAAAAAAGGTTTTTTATTATTAGGCTTGAAAGACATTTCATAACTGGTGTTTGATTCTGTTGTCACCAAAATCATTAATAGCTATCTCTGATCTAACAGGGTTCTTCCTAAGACTCCTGCATTTAGCTTTTCTGCTGGAAATCTAATATCATCTGTTGTGGATAAGACTGTTAACATCATAACATGATGTGCTTTGCACAGCATGTCTTGCTCTCTTGAAGCTTGCTGCCACTATTCGATTAGAGCTCTGAGGCACTCAGCGAGCTATCTTGTGTGGGTTTTGTTTTAGGCTCAGGTAGTAGACCGTATTAAACCTGACGTGCTCCAGAAATTGTGATGCTTCTTCAGGAAAAAATTCAAATTCTTTGCTTTTAGACTGGGTAGTATATTTGTGTACATCCCAGATTGCTTTGATCTGCCTAGATTTATGACAACTAATCTAAAAGGGGTAGAATGTGATAATTTATATAATAATAATGAACCTGTGATTCTTCATCTTAAGTAATAATGTCTCAACCGTGTCTTGTTATATGTACAACCATGCAGATTTGTCTGATGTATGTCTGCATAACGGTAACCCTTCAAGTATAAGGGGAAGATGAGCTATTGATGCTTTAATGTTCGTTCTTCCAGTTCTACTGTTCTGCAACCACTGTGGCCCAGAACCATGATTCTTCATCTGGCCTTTAGGCTACCAGCCATCTATATCTTGCTGATCAAATGCTGTTGCTGTGGTTTTTGGCTTGCTGGTTGGCTACTAATTACAGCTGAAATGCATTGAGATCCATTCTGTAAAATTATGCTTCTGAAGCATCAGTTGGTTCTTGCTGTTTCTAATGTTTGTACTTAGGAGGGTGCATGAGGCTGGGAGCAGGGAGGCTGTTCAGAAGGCTGTGGGTTATTTGGTTTTGCTTGTCTTTCAAAAAGAAAATAACATAATAAACAAACAATCTATAAATTGTTGCTCAGTTATAAAACTTTAACTATTTCCTTTTGGAAAAATACTTAATGTCATGCAGTACTGTAGAAGCAAACTGTAAATTTGCATTTGACTCTTTGTAGCTGAATAGGACCCATAACTGAAGTATGAAATTAATAGATAGCTTTGAAGTACTTAGAACTCTACATCTCTGTGAATGAGGGATTTCATGCAGTCATGCATTGTCCTTTGAAAACAGACAGAATACTTAGTTTCTAAATATGATTCAGATAATATACAAGCACTTGTTCTGGCTTTCAGCAAGCTGTTCTGGCCTCACTATCTGTGGTTATTTTTATAACAGTTAAGGTATTGTACCAGTTTGTATTTTCTTTCTAAATTGCAGAGTCTGCTTCATTGAAATTAAGTGAAACAGAAGGCCATGCCTAAGGAATAAAGTTAGTTTAGAATAAAGTTGGTCTTTGCTTTAATGTTTAAATTAAGTAAATGGAAATAATTTAATTTGAATTCACATACCAATTTTGTCAATTGTTACATAAAATAATGAAAGGATTTTTTTTTCTCCTTACCTTTCTCTCACCCTCCTCTTGCTCCAGAATGGTGAGCACAGGTTTTCATTTCAGATTTAATTACACGTTTTGGTATGGTTACTTATAATAACAGCAAGAGGAATAAAGAATTTAATTCACAAAGCTGCCAGAAAAGACTGGAAACAAGGAATTAGTTCTGACAAGAACCCTTGCTTAACTTCAGGGGAACAAGGTTCAACCTCTTCCTTTCTGGTGGAGTGACTATGGCTGTCCAGTTTCCAAAGCATCCACGAATGTCTCTGGAGCCAGCCACTGGGATAAACTTGTGGTGGGATTATCTGAGCACTCTGTGGGAAGGTGGGTTCTAATTGCTGCTCTGGTGGCTGTTGCTGCTTCAGAAGTACGATGTTACAAAGTGGGTCTGTTTAGGGGGGGGAAATATAATCTAGCTCAGTGTAACACTACATCCTCAAAAGTTTTGTAGAGATGGTTTTTATGGAGAAATGACTGTGGAGAGTAACAGCTGTTTAAAAAAATGCTGAGTTTTATATTTGGTGTAATGTCAACTGTCATGGAGAAAGATTCTCCTCCTCCCCCCCCCTTTTTTTTTTCTTACAATAGTTTGGGCTTTTGTTTAGAGTGCAGCCTTCTGACAAAGTAGGGTTGCAGCTGAAGGTGTGGCTGCAGCGTGTTTCGCCCTTCTTCAGGCAGCGCAGAATGTCAACAAGAAGTAGGTGTGGGTGGGAGCGGGTGGCTGGCTTCAGGATTGCTTCATCCTAACCAGCACCCACTGAAACGCTGCCAGCTGTTTGCGTCTGGTGTTAATCACGTGTGGCTTGTTGTGAATGCCATATTCTGTGATAAAGCCCACAGGAGATTGATTCCCCCAAGTCTTTTGGGCTACCTGACTGCTGCTTGCAAGAGACAGTTAAGAGTGCTGCGAGCCCAAGACCTCCCAGGATTTGTGAATTTCCTTTGAAAACAGTGCTGCTCATGACTTCTAACGTCCCTGCCCCACGCTGAGCCATGGCTCCCCAAGCAGCAGCGCCGCCATTAGCTGCAGATTGCGCAGTGCTGCAGGGAGCCCAGGATGCAGCTGTGTTATGCGTGGAGAGCAATGGTGGACGATGGTGCAGCCTAGATGTGTCCGTCGAGGTACCGATTGCCTCCATACGGGCAGAGGAGAGTGCTACCACTATGCTATTTCAGGTATCTTTGCCGTGCTCTTGCTGCCCTCCTGCCTGAATTTCAGGAGAGACTGTACTAGTTATCAGCCTTGGGAAGGTCTGGGGACCTCTCTGACACCTCTGTTAGCACATGGTTTCTTTCTGTATCTTCTGGTAGAGTTGCACGCAACTGTCTGCACCTCAGGTACAGTGAGCTGTACAGTGTTTACCTGCTGCCTGAGTAGTGATGGGGCGGGAAGTTCTATAAATATGTGAACAACTTTTTTGTAGGTGAAGAGCTATATTTAACACTACTGAAATCTGTTCCACTTCAGTAGCTGTATGAACTGTTAATTCAGTGTGTGCCTGACGATCCTCAAATTTTACTGTTCTCTGGAAGATGAACTTTTTTTTTTTCTTCCTATTGAAAGACTGAGCTGCTGTGATTGAGTTGTCTTTTACTCTAAAACACATCAACACAAGGAGAGGAAATATATTTTATCGTAGGCAGGATTTCTGTTTTGCCTCAAAAGTACAGAAGTAGCCATGCTTGCTGAAAAAGATTTGTCAGCAAATCTGAGCAGGAAAATTCTGATAAATCTACTTCATCTTAGGGTTCCTGTAGTCAAGAACAGCCCTGTGAATTAAGTGCTTCTGAATTTATTTAATGCTTTATTTAAAGTTGGGGGTGGGGATATCTTTACTGGGGGGAGGGGGAAGCAAAACAAACAAACAAAAAACTCGAAAAAACAAGACACATAATCTAAAAGGAATGCCAAGGACCTATCCCTTCCCTGCTGGCACTTTGCAGGGAAATGTGGCATAGAGTAAGATATTACCTCAAAGAGGTGGAGCCACAGTTATGCCATGGATATGCAGCAAAAATATCCAAAACTGGCTGTTGCAAGGGGAGACCTTGATTCTGAAGTCTGTCTTGATGTGATGAAATTGATATTTTTCAGCACTAAAAGTGTTCTGATTTCCAACTACCCTTGGTTGTTAGTGTATAAAAGTGTTTTTCATAAATACCAGCTACAGAAAAGCCAAAGGATTTACTTTTTGATCCCTTAACAAATGACTTAACGTGACAAAGTTTACCAAGTTGCACTACTTCCCCCTGCTGGAAACGGCTCTCTTCTTCTTGATGTCCTGGAGCACTTTCTTGCTTGCAGAAGCTTGTGGATTTACTGGTGAGTTGTTTGGATTCAAGCATATGGGAGACAGAAGTCCTGTCTGTCTTAGCAGCCCTTTTTCCACTTTCTTACTGAAACATTCCCATGAGAAACAAGATGTCGGTGCTTTAAACTTTTCTATGTTCTGTACAATGCCATAGAAGGTGCAGTTCACTATGTGGCTTTTGAAAGCACTGGTTTGGTTCACACACCCAACGCCCCCCCCTGATTCCAACCTGGAATCTAATTCTGTTGAAAATAAGGTCCATAAAATCTCAAGGTTAAGGATTGTGTATACATTTAATAGAACTTGAGAAGGGTAAATGTGTTGAGCTCACGCAGTGAACAGGTTGATTTTTACATGTTGTTCTGTTCACAGGTGTGGTGGCTGTCCTCTTCTGTGGAATTACCCAGGCGCATTATACGTACAATAATTTGTCAGTTGAATCAAGAAGTCGCACTAAGCAGGCAAGACCGTCTTTCACCTTTTGTACACTGTATTGCTGTAGTTTTCTGCATACTATTGTTTTTGAAAAGCAGCTTTATTGCTTGGCCATTAACATGTGACTCTTTTCTCCCTAGCTCTTTGAGGTGTTGCACTTCCTGGCAGAGAACTTCATATTTTCTTATATGGGTTTGGCTCTGTTTACTTTCCAGAAACACATATTCAGCCCAGTTTTCATCATTGGAGCTTTTGTATCCTTTTTTGCTTTGTGTGAAGTTTCTCTGTCTTACGTGCCTGAAAACTTGTTGGTGTCTATTGGGTTTACCAAGCAGAGGATGGCGGCTGGCCTAAGTTTCCCTCACATCTTGCAGGCACAATAATTCTGAGAATAATCTTTGGTTACCCCTTACATCAAATTGCTAAGGCCTCTGTGCCACACAGTTGTTGGCTCTGCACCTGAGCAAGTGCTAGAAGTCATATAATTTCAATAGATAGATAAATGAATATGCTCTATTGTGTGACTTGGCTATTGACAGCCAGCAATGCTTGTGTTGCTCTTGTATGTGAGCTTTGGGGGCCTAGGAAGGATTAATTTTTCTCTTCACTTCCAACAGTCCCTTGAAGAAAACAAACAAATTTCAAGTAAAAGAGGATCATGGGCAAACAGAGAATCTTTGAGCAATGCCCCAAAGGTAGAGGTCAAGTTCTCAGGTGATGGGAGGAGGAAGGAACTGAGCTGTGGTGCAGACCTTGACAAGGTCCCTTTCAACCCTATGATTCTGTGAAGGGTACACACTGCTGAAAGGTGCTGGAGTTGGAGGCGGCTATCCAGTTCCTATTGTCCCTGGCTGACTTGGTACCTGGCTCTTGAATTCCCCAAAACTGAACACTTCTGTAGCAGTCACACTCATGTAACCTGAGAATTGCTAGATGCCTCTCTGCGCCCTGTTGAAATAGCTTATGTACCAATTTCTTCATTATATTCCTGGCTGCTTGAAAATTTGGAGCAATTAAAAGTGTGTGTGAAGCAAAGGGTTTTTAATTAATAATTACAGTCGTGATTTCTCTCTGCCTGCTGCAGGAGGAGGGCTATCGGCAATGAGATAAAACCCAGTGAAAGGACATTTAAAGGTGGCCTAATCCAGAATGTATTTCTTTTTTCTCCTTCTTTCTATTGTTTTCTCTCATCTCTGTACTGCTTTCTAGGAATTTATCACTTGTCTTTATTTTCCTTTGGCCATTTACTTTTTTTCTAAACAGTAATAAATTTTATCCTGTGTCTCCTTACCTCTGTTCTGACCTAAAAAAAAAATGTTCCAGAGCCCTGCAGCTATTGGATAAAGACATTAACGGAATAGTTGCATCAGGTATACTAAGCATTGTAATATTTTATCTTTGTGGCCTTCTGTCCTGTCTCAGGTTGTGCTATCTGTCTTGGGTTTGTTTTCAGTATTTACTTTGTTCCTTTCTCATCCTACTTGCCAACCTTTTATTACATTTTCACATCTTTTTCTACCACTGCACTTGACCTTTGCTGCCTCTTGAGTGTTTTTTCTAGCTTTGTGAGGAGGGCAGCTAGTACTAGCACCCACATTTTGCCTCAACAGTTACTGATCACATTAAGACCTTGCAGGAGCGAAATGCAGAGGCATCATTACCTGTTGAGGGAGAAAGGTTGGACTGCAACAGCAGAGCTAAAGCCTCAGTGTCATTGACAAAATCCTAGCCGTTATTTCTATGTACATTTGGTCACAATGGCTTCTGATGACTGATTTCTGCACTCCTCAAAAGGACTGCTATAAAAGTTGTTTGTAATAATTATATGAAACTTTTTGTATGAAGTAATAATCAAAATCTTCTTTTCTTAAGAGACATAATTTCCTGCAGACAGTATTGCTTTACTTTAGCTATGGCAACAACCCAGTGTTGTCTAGAGCTCTTACATGGTTTAATTTCGTTTTTATAAGAGAGCTGTTTGATTCTTCTAATGTTGTTATCCCAGCAGCAAATGATCAGTGTTTGGTGGGCTTCTGGTTGTGTTGATGTTTTATAGGATTTCAGCACATCACTCTAGTTTGTCCCAAAGTGGTCCTTAGACCGTGGAGAGTATATTCAGCTTTCTGCTTCTTCATTAGAACCATTGGATGTTTTACACCACAGTAAGGGGGGGAAGGAGCTTACCACCTACTGTCATGAATTTCTGCAATACTCTTACTATTCTGGAACTGACAAGTGGTTTTTGGATTTATCATCTTAGTAACTCTGTACTCTTAAGTGCTTGCCAGCCTCTGCAGGAGCAGTAATGGAGTGGCTACTTACTGGCCTTATGTTGGTTTTCCTTCTGTACATAGGACTGCATTTCTGTTGGTCTGAAAGACATAATTGAATGCAATAGCTGTTCAAAGTGTGAATTTTTGAAGTCTTTATTTGTGCCACTGGTAGTTTTATTATTAGGTATAATTTCACTGTGCATTAAAAAACTTGGTTTTATTAGTTAAAATTTGCATTCTATGGAGTGAGTTCTGTATGTACATATTGGTGAAAGTCTGTTTTATATAGACAGAGAGAACAAAACCACCTGATACCATGATGTAAACCTCTCACTAAAACAGAAGCTTCATGTTAGAGCCAGGTACCCAAGAGTACATACTTCAGGAAAGTGAAATCCTTAACCCTCAGCTGTGAATAGATTGCAATCTTTTTGGGCAGAGCTGCACACGTCTACCCCCTTTCTTTCTTGCTGAATCTGGGCAGAAGGCATAAGATCAGCTGGAACTTTCAGCACATGATGATGTTTTCAGGTAAAAGCAAAAATGTTTGGTAAAGCAAAAAAATCTTATTTTTAACTCATAAGCAATTTATACTACTACCATCTGCTCTTATAATCCACATCCATGCGTCCTGAATAGAAGGCTTAATGGTTGTTGCAGTGTGCCATCGTGTATCTTTCAACCTTTACAGAAAGCGTGTCATTATCTGGGAAGAGTGTCATCTTGAAATGCCAGCTGCTGACAGCAAGCAGTCACCTCATGTTGGGCATAGAGTATTTTCATTTGAAGTTCCTCTGAAGGGGATGGGGGAATTGAGATGTACCTCTTTCAGAAGGCTACTTCTAGCTGAGATGATGTACACATTGTGCAGAAACAGATATCTGCTGAGAAAATCGAGGCGTGTTTATGGGTGCCCTCTCCCGCTAAGTCAAATACCTTGCTTTCTCCAACTAAAACTCCCTTACAATTTCTGTCACACAGATAACTGTTGAAGTTTGTCATTTGAAGCAAATCATGGAGGCTGTGTCTAAACATGTGCATCTTCAAGAAGTGCCAGGGATGCCTCTGTGCACAAGAGGGTCTAAAGAAGAGGGAGCCAGGCTATTTCCAGTGGTGCCCAGTGATGGGACCAGAGGCAGCAAGCACAAACTGAAACACTGGAGGTTCCCTCAACGTCAGGAAAGAGTTTTTACTGTGTCTAAGCACTGGCACAGGCTGGCCAGAGAGGCTGTGGCATCTCTGTCCTTGGAGATACTCAAAAGCCATTTGGATGGGGTCCTGGGCAACCTACTGCAGGTGACCCTGTTTGAGCAGGGGAGTTGGACCAGATGACATCTGGAGATCCCTTCCAACCTCAGCCATGCCGTGATTCCCCCTACTAAAGAAGCCTGCAGACGGCCAAATGCCATGGCTTGTCCTTGCTAGGGGAGTTTCGTAATTGGGGGCGGGGGAAGGGGGGAAATATAGTCTGCTTGTGAACACATTATTAACTAGAATATTTTTCCAGCTGATAACAATTTCATATCAAGAACTCATGCTTCAGTTATGGAATCAACTGGAAAAGTGTGCATTTTCATTTGGACTCAGGGAGCTGCTTAATTTCCACAATGTGTTTTGCTGTTGTCCACAACTTGTTTGTTTCTGGATTTCCTTCATGTTAGTTTCTGGAAATATTTACACCTTTTCTTAGCACTAGTGGATTCTGCAAGTTGCAGAAATGTACCAGGGCAAATTATGTTCTAAATCATCCCAGGGCATAATTTAGCAGGGAAACCAAGGGAATTAAAACTTGATGGAGCTCCATGCTTTCTGCCTGTCACTTTGTGCCTGTGTGGCAGGGAGGGAGCAAGGAAAGATGCTGTGTTATAAATAGGTGCAGCTGCACTTCTGAAGCTCTGCTATTTCATTCTTTTGCATAGGTCTCAGGGGAGCCATGGCATTTGCTCTGGCTATACGAGATACTGCTACCTACTCACATCAAATGATGTTCTCAACAACTCTCCTCATCGTCTTTTTCACTGTGTGGATTGTTGGTGGAGGTACAACTCCCATGCTGTCATGGCTGAACATCAGGTCAGTATGCAACTGTGTGCTGGGGAAACATCACTTTTCAAGTGGCAACTGTGCTAATCGGGCATAGTCCTACAGGACTTGTTTGATGCTTACTAGAGGTGTTCTAGGTATTTAGAACATGCTGTTTTATCGAGGAAGGTGCTCGTGTAGGCTGGTGAAGAAAATGTACTGATGATGCTGGGATTCAGCCTAAAGCTCTCTGATGCTCTGCCAGTAGGTATCTAGGTCCTTGTCAACCCAGTAGGATATGGAATAATGTTGCCTGATACAGCAATCCCTATATTGAAAAGAAAGAATTAATCTTTCTAGTCCCACAGAAACTTCTCTTCCTATTATGCTATGACATTTCCCTGTCTTTTGGCTCTTGGTAATGCCCTGTTACATTTTTTTAAGTTAAATGGAGTCTGTATTGGGCGATGCTAAACTGAATGCACTTCAAACATCTGTCCAAACAAACCTGATGTTATGTAAACAACTGGGATAAATGGGATCCTGCTAATCTTCTGGGTGTGTTTCCTTCTGTGTTGAGAACACCTGTGAAAATGGTCAAGTAGTGTGATTATAGACATTTGTAAATCCTGGCCAATGCTTAGTACTTTTGGGCTGCAAGTACAGTCATGTTTGAGGATATTTATCAACAGAAGTGCTACAGAATCGTGAATCAATCAGTGTTAAAGACCACATCTGTTATCTTTCTGTGAAAGCTTTTGTAGTTGGGGAGGCAAAGGTAAATAGAGTGGAATTAAAACAATACACACTGTACAAACCCTTCAGCATGTTTTTCATATGTAAATTATTTGTGCTCTTTGGCACTTGAAAGCTTACTTTGTCTTCCTTCCTAATTGTGCTAACCAGAATTTGTATCCCGTTGTCTTGTGATAGGATAGGAAAAAACAAGCTTATGTAAAACCAGTTTCAGTCTTTGGAAGAGCTGATCACTCTTAGGGACTGGTGTTGCTTTTGGAAAACTTAAGTGAACTGTTTGTGGCAATAGGTAGCAGGTGGTTTCTAGGTTGGCAAAAAAAGTATGGATAGGAGTCCCAGAAATGCTTGTGAACTTCTCACTGAAGTTAGCATGCTTCCAGCCAGGCAAGCATTACAGCAGTGGTTTACAGTATCTCAGCTCTGACTGACAGCAAACATTGGGAAATCATGTTTCCTTTTTTGTTAACTAATGAATCCATTTCTAACCTTAAAAACTGTCTTTAAATGCAAGTTCCCAGATGTTTGGCTAGCACACCAGAAAGGAGCATCACTTCCATGTAGTCAGGCTCTCTGAAGGTCATGTTGCTAGCAGGTAGTGCAATGCCTGGTGTGAAGTCGACAACAAAACTGTTCCAGTGCAGCTGTGTCATTAATGATCATGACATACCACATCATAACGACATTTCGAAGCCCAGCCTGACTGGTTTCTGTTTCCACGTGAGAGCTGTGTAACAACTTTAAAAAGGTACCTGGAACAGGTGCCACGTGCAGCTTTCCATTTGAAAGCATCCAAGAATGTGCACTTACTCCTTTAGCAGAAGTAATCTGGTTCAGTAATGAGACTCCATGAGCCTGGCTGACGAGTTGCTCCTGAAGGGAGAAAGGGCTGATACTCCCTCCACTCCAGGCTTGCCCTTTGGGTAGGCTATACTTGCAAAAATCATTAATGTGGCCAACAAGGCAGAACAGCTGGAGAGGCCCTGATACCATTCCTAGAGGAGCAGCTGCCAAAAGGCAGTTGGCCAAACTGTAGTTATGAGTGTTTAGCTGTAGTTTTTTGGGAGATTTACCCACCCTTGCTAGTAGGCAGTAATTTTAACTGTCATTTGTTTAGCATGGTTGACAGAAAATAAATGTTTAACTTTCCTGTTAAGGGAAGGAGGTCATGTAAACAAGGGAACTCTACATAGGAGGTATTTTAGAGAACTGCATGGGTCTGCCTACAGGAGCCTTGATAGGCACTGCTCTATTAAATATGAAGACTGGACTTTATGAGACCAGATGAAATGAGATTTGTGCCAGGAGGTGGCAGCCGTGTGCAAGTGAGCGAGAATTAGAAACTCTGCTGGTAAAGTACCCTCTGTGATAGAGCCCTTTCTGCTGGAAAGCAAGAAGTCCTGTCTGACCTTACAGATTTAAGAAAGAGACAAATTAGTTTCCAGCTGGATTTTAGAAATATGCTGCTTTTCTCTTCTTCATCCCTTGACTCAGTGGAAGAGATAGGCAGGAGAAGATGAAGATGAGATGCTGTCCCAGTGCCTCGCTCAGCGGCACAGTGTATAGTGCTGATACAATCCTGAGGCTGTGCAGTAGATAACTTGTCCCTGGGATGCTTTCTGCCCCTTGGCACTTGTCCATTAGGTTAGACTACAAGAGGCTGGAAATAAGTAGCGCTGCCATACAGGATTATTTAGCAGAAAATAGGTTAAAAGATAAAAGGTAGTTTGTTTCCTATGCTAAGTGAAGGGACGTAGGAAACTAATGCCATTTGTGTGTTGGACTTAAATATCAGGATTTGTGTAGACTCCTAAAAGTCCAGCTCTGGTGTGAAGTTCACACCAGTTGTGTCCTGGTTGACTTTGGCCTTTGTGGAAGTAAAGATGGAAAGCCAGTCAGCATTACAAAGTCCTCAGGAAATAGCTGGCCTTGCTGCAGTGTGGATGTGAGAAGAAGACAAAGGCGTGCTTTAACGAAGAGTCGACCAAGCTGACTGACCCTTTAGACTGGTTTAGCTTGCCTGGTCATTCTGTGGCAGAGGGTTGTTACTGTAATCCTGTGGGTACTGGTCTGCCCATCAGTGGGGCTTCTGGGTGACCCCTTCAATAGTTCCTGTGGGCTGTGAGGGGCTGTGCTTCTTCCCTAGGAACTGCAGGCGCATGTCTGTTGTACTGGGCAAGTCAGAGGAGGCCAGAGGAGCTAAGACAGGTGTCAACAGTCAACACCAAGGAGTCAGGTTGTGCCTGCGCAATTTAAGTGGAACAGTACCAGAGAGCTGACTTCAGCCAAGGCTTTCAGCCTGGCTTGATACCGGTACGTTCATGGGGAGGCAGTTGCGTGCATACATGCATGAGACAATGGCTACGTAAGGATTCAGAATTGGTCTGCTGTGGCTTAGAGGCAGAGGCCCATGCCTCTGGCTGCACCATGAATTGCATTAGCAATTGGGATGCAAATGCTTTGTTGTCTACTTCTGGTGGTCCCTTCTCTCCCATGATGTGAAATGTATTAAAAGTAGGTAAAGGATAGAGAGGCAAATGTATAAATTAAGTTTCAGTAAAATAAAAAGCAGTAAAAGGAGGAAAATAAGCAAAAATGCCCTCTGCCTCCCCTTGCTCTGTTCTGAATGTCTCAAGTATGCAGGTATCCAGACAGGGCATGTTACCAGTGTACCAGGGTCTTGAATGTACAGATAAGCAGAGGACCTACGGTTTGTAGCAGAGACTTAACTTTAGTTTACTGCTTAACTGGTTGGGAAAGTGAGGTCATGACAGCAAAACCAAGTAAAAAATAATGAGATCTTTAGATGCTTTTGATTTCTGCCATGTGATGCTGAGCAAGTTAAAAAATAACACTAGAAGCTAGAGTTAAAGCCATGATGTCATGTGTCTGAATTTTCTGGCTGTCACTGAGATGTATCCAAGCATGTGGGTGGTAAACAGTTATACTTTTCTAGCAGTAGATTATCCTTTTCTTAGAAGGCAAAGCATGACTTGGATATTAAAAATATAGTTTCACCCTTTGAGAATAAAACAAAGAAACAATTTCCTGTCTGAAATTTTAACAATTTCAGCAAACTTGAGAGCCCTGTAAATCAAAACCACTGGCAAAGTTCCTCTTTTCAGAAAAGTAGTTGACTTATCATTTCATTTATCTGTCACAGAAAAAAGGGAACTCCTAGCATTTGTATTGCAAAATAATCTTTATTCCATTTTTCCTTAGCGGTTACTGACCTGGCTCTTTTCACCTTGAATGAAGCAACATGTAGATTAATGCTGCCTTCTCCTTTATAATCTGCTTCAAATGAGGGCATTTGTGTTTGTTTTAATGAAGTAATTCCAGTTACACTTAGCAACCGTTTCCTAAATCTTAAATACCTTTCAATTTAAAATATTTTAGGTATCTTTCTACCATAAAAGTTAAAGGTTGTACAGACAATGTCAACTTAGATATTTACTGTCTTATGTCTGACTTTGCAAATACAATCTTTTTAAGAGTTTTCTATGTAGGGATTTTTTTGTTTTCTTTAAATGAGCAAACTGAAAAAGAAATCTGGAAACACTAACTCTCACATAGCTGCTATGTGAGCTACCTAACTATCTGGGATGGTGGTAAAACTGACAGCTTGGTGGCAGTCTCAGGTTATACTCTATTATCTTGCCCAGGGTGATCCCATAATAAAATGTGCATTTCTTAAATACCATGCTTTAGTGTGCTGTGGTGGCAGGAGGCGAGTGTTGATGCTGGGATCCAGCTTTGTGTTATGTTCTGGACTGGAGTGGGGGATGTCTGATAGGAGGTTACAGCTGTCTGTTTTGCAGCCCGTTTCCCTTATTCTACAATTTAGATCCTTCACTGCCTTCTAGCTGCTCTCTGCTGCCATCGAAGGGCAGATGCACAGACACGGGCCACTCTTTCTTGCCCTTTGTTACTGGCTTTTTCCTTTTCACCTTTCATAACTCTTTTTTCCCTATCTAGTTTCTCCCATCTTCCTCCTCCTTTCCCAGTTTCTAGTTTCTCATCATCAGTCTTGCATTTCTCTTAACGGAGGTGCAGTGCAGCCCCTGAACCTTCACCCTCACCCCTCTGGGTCTTTCTCTTGGTAGGAGAGAGATTGCCTCCTCTTCTGGATGCCTACAGGTATGCATGGAGATGCTGCCTTATCTCTCTTCTTGTGCTTAGAAACATAGCAATTCATACCAGAGACATAAAGTGTGGGGAAGGCCTGGACCCTGCAGGAAGTGGGTTGAGATATATTTAGAGCACATGGGTGATATAGGTTTAACTGCCAAGCTCTGGCAAGCCTCCAGCAGTTTCTGGAGTCATTATCTTGGTTAGGTCAAGTAAAGAAATATCCAAAGGCATACTAAAACTAACCTGAAACAACATTTCCTAATTCTAGGGTTTTTTTAGTGATTGTGTTGTGTTTTTTTTTTAAAACATCGTGGTGGGAATTCTCTTCTTCCTCAGCCATCTTCTGAGAAACAGTTGAACTCTTCCAAAATAGCTAAAATTTTCAAAAAAATGCTGCACTCATTATAGACATCTGGGAAAACTTCAGTATACTAACTTGGCAAAGATACAGCAAAGGGAAAGTTGTAGAAGGGAAGTTATTGGGCAGTTATTAATTTTAGGTTTTGCTGAATATGCAGAGCTGTCTCAGTGCTGGCTTTTTGGAGCAGAGTGCTGTGACCTGGAGTGTATGTCAGTATGGGAGAAGAGCTATTGAACCAGGAATCCAAAACAAATCTATCCAAAGTCTGGTATTTGCCTCAGCCTTCAAGGATTAGATGAGTGCGTGCTCTTCATAGCACAAGCTATGGCCTTAAATATTTGGTTCGTCAAGATGTCAGCCTGTAATCAGGGTGTGTACACCTGCTCTTTGTAAAGTGAGGCCTCTGGATTTCTGGTCATCTGGGCTTTTATTTCACACAGCAATATATAGTTCAAGTAGCATGCCTTCATTGAAAAACAGGGGAGGGGAAAACCCCAGAAGCTGCTAAGGAATTTATATGGAAGATATTAGAAACCAAACATACTTTCTCTTGTGGTTTTCTTTTTTTAAGTAAAAATGAAAAAGGCAAAGCAAGGAGTAAAAACACACTCTGCTGCAACTGGAGATTAATAGTCTTAAAGATTGTTAGTCAATTGTTAGTTATACCAACCAAGTGATTTAGTACATATTACCAGTTGTTTTGGACTGCTCTGAATCTAGGCAGTATTGATGGCCTCTTTCATATGTGCATAGCTTCCTGCGATTAGTTTCTCTAATGACTTTTTTTCTTTTAGACTATGTGCAGGTCTGAAGTGGTAGGAATTACCTTAGATTGGCTCTGTGTCTGTGTAGCAGCTCTCTTGAGAGCTATTGAATCTAATTTTCTGAGGGAGGTAGCCTGTCATGAATACAGGTGTTTTCAGCCTGAATCTGAATGAATGAAGAATATTACTGGATATCTCAATCATAAAGTGCTGCTGTTTGTTAATTTTTATGATTTTTGTCACTTTGTCATTGTTCTGCCATTCTTGTATGCTTTGTCTTTTTTGATTGGGTAGGGTTTGTTTGTTTTTGTTTTTTTTTTTTGTTGGTTTGCTTTGTTTTGCTAGGGAGCTCTGTGAAGCTACCATCTCATGAGCATTTTGTTACTCACATTGCATTCTTGTACTGTACCAGAGTTGGTGACCATGTTCCATCGGTGGAAGAGATGAGTGAAAGCCGCTGGCTGTACTTCAGGTGACACTGTGCTTTCCTTGATACCAAATTAACGTGGTGCTTGGCTTTCTTGATAACACTGTGTGCTCTTTTTCTATACTATGGCATGCTGCTGCTGCTGCTTCTTTTCTGCAGAAGAGTGCCGTAGATGTTCCTCAATTCTGAATCTGTTCTCTTTTTCTGAGCTGGGAGAGTGTGGATCACACATCATGCCTTTAGTTTAAAAAAACAAAAACCACAAAACACCACATCCTTTAACTCTGTATATGGGTACTTAATGAAGCAAAACTGGCATCTCTGGTCTGGGAAGACTTGAAAGCCGAGAAATCATGGATGCAATCCTGTGATCCTTAATGACACAGGTATTCTTAAGTATTCCTCGGGGTTATTTTGTACAACTGTTCAGATTGCAAGGGACTTCATAGGTGATTTAGCCCAGCCTCTTTGGGGATGCATTTTAAAAACAGAGGGTTATCACATTGTTTGATAGGAACACGCTAATAAGAGTGGAGATGAACCAGAATCCTAGTCTCTTCTGGTTGATGGCTTCTAGAACTGATGTATGGATAGAGAGAGAAGAAAAAAAAACAAATAAATCTCTAACTGGCATGTATAAGGGAATGTGCATTTTTGTGTGTGTGTATACGTGTATATAAAAATACATACAGAACATTTATGTAAAGAAAACTCTTTGGGATGGGGCAATAGTAAGTTTTTGATGTATTCTGTCACACTTGAAGGCTCACAGCTAGCTGCTAAATTTGCCAGAGATGCAGTACATTAGCTTGTATAGAGAATCTGAGAACTATTATCTCTTACAGTCATTTTTGGCTGTTGCCACAGTAATTACATATGCTAAAATGTAATAAAGCCTGGTATTTTGGTAACTTGTCATCTGTGTATTGCTGGGCCTCGGAAAGGTTTTTGAAGTATCAGAAGACATGGTTCTACTCATGTTAAAATGACATAGAACTACTTCAAGTTTTCCACTATCTGTTTTTTTACCATTCTTTTCCATACATTTCCATATACTTTGCGTTCCACATTTTGTGTGTTAACCATTTTCTACCACACTGTTTAAATTCAGTATTATGTATACTTTGGTATTATACATAAGCTTAGTGTTTGAGGGATCAGGTCTGAGTAACTGTTCTCCTATGTGTGATGCTGGAGTTGTAGCTGTAGAGTAAGGACCAAGAAAGTCAGGAGTCAGTTAGGAGCAGAGACGTGGTGCTTTGGTACTGGGCATTTGGAGCTCAGTGGTAGTCCCTTAAGTGAGCTCTTAAAGCATGTAAAGCCTTTTATGCCTTAAAAACAAAAATGTATTTTAATTAGGGAGGAGTGAAGTAATATACTTAAATTGGCTTAATTTTTAGTGTAGAATACTGTTGTCTACAGATTCCAGTAAACTTCCCAAGGTAAAAATAAAGATGGCTGAACTTTATGTACTAGTAACTGTCTGCAATGAATTATTATGGTATCTGTCAAATACTGAGTTGATTCCAATGGAGGAAATAGATTAATTTTTTTCACCAGTTTTGGGATATACATGCATTGTTACATCTGAAAGACTGCTCATACTCTTCATCTAGCATCTGCTTTTTAAGAGTTACTTGTTTGAATTGCTACTGCACACCCTCAGGGAATCCACACACCGCTGCTGCAATGGGCTTTCAGAAGGGGTGGAGGGGAAAATGAAATGCTTGCTGTCACCTGCGCTGCCGTGGCCTTGGCTGTCCTGCAGCCAACGTGCCCCTCAGTCCCCACCACATAGACTGTGCCTCTTCAACAAAATACTCTTTTCAACTAGATCTTGCTCGCCTGCCTTTCTGCTACAGGGTTTGAGCAAACCACCACAGTCGTTAGCAAGGCTACCCTCTCTGTGCTCCTGAGCTCTGAGAGGGGCTTGGCATAAATAAATCCAGTAAAAATTTTTCTTAACTTAAAAACTGCTTAAATAAATGAGAACTGATATTGGCATTTCCGGCACATGTAAATTATGGGAAGCTTTTTAAATACTTAAGGATGTGAGATGGATTTTTTTCTTTCTTTTAACCACCAGAAAAAAATTGTTGAAGACATACATGCATCAGCTTTACTTGTACTTTTAATTAGAGAAGCACTTAAGTAAGGATGAAGTAACTAAATGTTTTCTGTTCTTCTCTTCACTGTAAAGGAGGTTGAGAGAGACTTGACTGGTTTTTGGTATTGTTTTGTTCAGGTGATAAAGATGAGACTTTCTTAGAAATTTGGGGGCAGGTCCCTCAAAAATGTGAGGCTTGTCATGAGACCAGGGTGTATATACCTTGAAACTTAAACAGGTAGACTTGCTACAAAAAAATAAAGCTTCCTATACAATTCATGCTAGAGAGAGGATAAGAGACACTGTGCTGGTTAAAACCTATAAAAAACAGTCATAGGAATTCAAAATAATAATGTATTTTGTGTTAATCTGTGAACAGAGGAACACACTTTGAAACATGAAGTTAAAAAAAAAGTGATTTATAGAAAAAATTAATTAGAAATACTTAAAATATAAAATCACCTGAAGAATAAATTTTGGGGGGAAAAAATTAAAATGGACAAGTCTGTGTCATTGTACTATTTCAATATTGAAAGAAATGTCTGTAGTAAGAATTTTTTTCTAAAAGTTGAACATTTTTAATATAGAAAAGCTCTCTTTTCCTCTCCAGTCCAACAGTGTTGTGATGTACTATGACCTTTCTCTGAACAGTGTGGTCATCCTTGCTTTGGTCCTCCGCTAAGCCCCCTTCCCCTGCCTAAGGGCAGTTAAAATCCCCAAAACAAATGCACAACCTTGTAAGTCAGGTAAAAGCTGAGACATTCTGTATTGTTTGTTTTTCTTATGTACTGTGAAGTAAATGGGTAGCCCAGTGAGTTAAAACTATTTAGGGAATGCAAACTATGTTCATCTTCTGGAACAAGCTTCTTGAGCTCCCCGTTACTATTGGCAGCTGCACGGCTAACATGAGCGTGTTGCTGTGTGTAGCGTGTTGAACTTCCCCAGGGTGCAGCTGGGGTTTGGAAAGCCACAAATCTGTTTATGTGTATTTATAAAGGAATGCACAATCTTATATACGTTGCCATACTGAGCAGGTTTCCTGATGTTGCTTGTCAGCTTTCTGCGTGAGGCTTCATTAGGTAACTAGTTTGTCTGGAGCAAACACTTCTTACAATGTCTTCATTGCTTAGTGATAGCCTAAGCAGTAACATCTAAGCCCTTGTAACCTTGTGTGTGGCATTTTATTTTAGCATGTGTTACAATCCCGATCTGTCTGTCCAGTGTTCCCTTAAACTGATGAAGATTTTTAGTCCTGAGGCTGGTCAGTGCCAGTGAATTCCCAGGCCAAATGTGCCTAAGGGTTAAGATGACTCTGTGTGGAAAAAGGAAGCGATGAGGAAAGAAAAGAGACTCAGGAAAAAATCCAAGCAGAGGACTGGGTCAGCACTAGCTCTGTGTGAGGCTGCTGCAGGCTGTGTTAGAGGGGCCTTCTAGGTTTTCCCTGAACTACATTAAGTCATGTGAGGCCTTGGATTGGTCTTGAGCCCACAATGATGACTTAAAACTTCGGTTCAGTGCCTACTTTTCTTCCTCTTTTGTTCTATTAGAAAGTGCTGCCCTGGAAGTTATTTGAAGCTGTTTCCTTTTCGTTTAATCCTTGCCATCTTCTCTGCCTGAAGGTAAATCATGTCTGGATCACTGCCTGCCTTATGCAAGCACGTGTCCCTGGACACACAAATTATATGGTCTTAACCAGCAAGCTTTTGCTGGTTTCTGGTGACCCTCAGGGATGTTGCACAAACACTGTGGCTAGAAATAGCTAACACAAAGTCTAGGTAACAAAGAAATTGCACTAAACGAGCTCAGTCCCTTCCAAGAGAGAGGAGATGAAGCTAGCCATTTCAGACACTATGTTTTTGTTATTGTATGCATTTTCCTGCACTTATTATGCAACATGGTAGGACTGAAATGCAACGCATTTGAGACTGACAATCTTACCTAACATTTGAGGTTGGAGGTCTAGGTTCTACAAGAGAGCACAGAAATTAAAGCATGAATAGGATTTAAAACTAGACAAGTCTAATCTTAACAAATAGCTACCCCAAAACAAACCAGAAAAACCTGAACATAATTGTAAGGATTAAATATCCATCTTGGATAGCAGCACTATGTGAAAGGACAGTTCAGTAATAAGATGCTTGCAAACTATGCAAAAGTGAGTAGGCAGTTGCTTATTAACATTATTCTGCAATCATTCACCACCTCATTATACAGACCCTCCCTCACACAGGTGGGAGGCTGGACTAGACAGACCTCTTGTTAATCCACTGTGGCTGTGTTGTGTCAGGTGAATTAAACTTGCAGTAAACTAATATTATCAGTCTTTATAAAATACTTTTATTGTTTCACACAGTGCATTAAAACGGGGGGGGGTGTGTGTGTGTGGCTTTTAAAAATTGTATATTTGAGCCATTCTCAGGCCTGTCTGGCAGCTAAGTTATTTGCTGTGTCAAATATTCAGGCTGGGCTTATCCTTAGTCTCTGGTTTCTTGCTGCTGGACATGAGGGGTGTTCTCCACTGAAAAGGATGTCTACCACAGTTCACCTTTTAAGCCAAAAATAACATTTGCCAGTGTCCTAAAAGAATTGGCAACAAAGGTAAGCAGTTAAAGTTGATGCTGAGATGGAGTTAAAGCTGTTATCTACCGGTAGTTGCTGCTTGAGTGAAAATATCTTCTTTATAACTATGTAACTGCAGGGGAATAATGGACAGCTCTTCCTCAAACTATTCTTATAACCTCTCTGAATGCAGCTTTGCTGGGTGCTTAAAGTGCTTTTAAAATGCATTCTGCCAAACTTGCAGCGTTTTCAACCCTCAGTAACACCACTTGCTTTGTTTTCCTAATGTTTCTGTAGGGTTGGGGTTGACCCAGATCAGGATCCTCCACCTACTAATGACAGCTTTCAAGTCTTACAAGGAGTAAGTAATTACGTAACTTCTCAATTAGGCTGATCTTATTTTATAATTAAGACGATAAAGAACTGCAGAAGCGATGTGCATGGATAAAACTTTTCTCTCTTAGCTGGCGAGTCAGTAATGCATTTTACTTTATAATATTCAAGTAATGCCCACCAAAAAACATTCTGTGGTGTTGGGTATAATGCTGCAGCATTCAAATTTGTGTGTGTACTATATATAACAAGGCATCAAAAATCTTCCCAAATCTACTAAAACACTCTCTTTAACAACATGCTTTCCTCACCCCCACCCACCCAACGAGCTTGCTTTTAACATGCTACAGCATAAACAGTCTTCCCCAAGACTGACCCAGAGATAATCCCTCTTGGCTTCTGTTCAATAACTGATACCAAATTTTGGCCCTTGAACTTGTTTAGAATCAAAGATTAGGTTCGCTAATCTGATTTCAGCTCCTGTATATTGTACCACAAGCCAGGTGGATCTGACCTGTACTACCTACCACCTGTATGAGGCAAAAGGAGCACTAGAATATTTATATTCAGGAAACTGTTGCTGTGAATCTTTAGTGCAGCTTTCTATGTGTCAGTAACAACCCAAGGGTTGACTTTTTTTCCCTGCAATATGATATTGGCAAGCAAGACTATCAAAACCCTGGCACAGGTTGCCCAGAGGGGCGGTAGGTGCTCCATCCCTGGTGCTCCATCCCTGGCAACATCCAAAGTCAGGCTGGACAGGGCTCTGAGCAACCTGATCTAGTTGAAGATGTCCCTGCTCATGGCAGGGGGTTGAAATAGATGGCCTTTAAAGGTTCCTTCCAACCCAAACTATTCTATGAAAGAAAATTGTTCATAGCAGAAATTCCAGTTTTCTTCATCTATAAACTGAGTGAATTCACAGGAGTAGTGAAAGGTCTTGGAAAAAAACAACCAACCAACCAACCAAACCCAACAACCCAAAACCAAACAACAGAACATTTCCTGAGGCTTCCTCTGTCCAGACCTTAGTTTACACTCTCCCAGAGTAATGCTTGACACTAACTGTTCACTAGCACAGCTGGTTGCTTGTGTTAGAAACCTGCTAGAGGAGGTTGAATGGCAGGAAAGACAGATGACTTTGGACCCAGAGGATGGATGCAAGTGTGTGAACTCTGCTTTGTAAAGCTCAGGTTGTATGATGCTGGTGTTCAGGCTGGTCACAGACATGCATGGGATACCTGCTGTATTTGGGATCAGCTTTCTTATTAGTGGTTTCTTCTGCCTTGCCTTTTTTTTTGTCACAGATTGTACAGATAAGGGTTACTTGTTCAGGAAGCATCTCTCTCATTGCAGAAACTGCAGTAGGCATCTCTGTGTTCTTTGAAGAAGGCTGTGTCCAGCACAAAAAAATTGATTCTGAAATGGTGGGTTTGGGTACCAAAAGGGGTGAACTTGGTTTTGTAGCTATCTGGAAGCAACCAGAAGGCCAGGTCTCAAAACACCTTCTACAATGAAGGCCACAGTTACTGCATAAAACCAAGGTTAGGAAGTGGCATCATGGTAAGATGGCTTTGGCCAGTTCAGGCTGAGCTTGTCAGTATTTGAGGAATTGCTTTAACAGGAAACAGAGCATGGGTATTCTGTTCTCATTCAGTGTCTGGGTGGAAATAACTTGTTTGCTTTTTTCCCATGTAAACATAAAGCACTTACCCATTTGTTTCCCTCTTTAGCTGTGCGTTGCATTCCTAATGAACTCCATTAGTCAGTTCCCTTTGGATTACTTTTTCTTTCACCAAGCCAAGATTAGCAGCATGTCACAATTAAAGAAAATATATCATTTGGGGTGGGGAGGGTGTGAAAATGTACTAAGCTTTAACTCTTGGTGGATCATGGATTTTTTTCAGATCAGAAGTACACAGGGCAATCCCGTCTTGTTCTTTTTCCAGTAGTTGGGAAGATGACTCATGCAACGCGTTGTCATTTCATCTGTTTTCCTGCATTTAACCTTGGCCTCTGGACAGAAAAAAGAAAAAAAAAAAAGTAACAAAAGTAAAAACAAATGCAGCTGCAGACCAGCTGGTGGAATGACTTGCAGCACAGCTAGTAAAGGGATTATATTTAACACTGTTAGCACTTCTGAGGTTGATCTAGCCCTTATGAAATTTGCATGACCTTCCTCAATTGTGATTTTATATGGATTCTCTGTTAAGCATGTTTCTTTTAAGTGCGATATATTTCATCAGGTTTGCGAGAGTTTGTCAGGTATGGTAAATTCTCTTTTCTTCCAAGGAAGCAACAGGGTTAGGGAAAGAAAATGAAATAGGCCTAGAGTTAAGGAAGCCAACCAAGCAATGAATAGGAATCAGTCTGGATTACTCCATTTATTTGGGGAGGGCTATGGGGACAGAATATCAGTGAGGCTTATTTGTCAGGTTTGGACTTAATTCTATCTCCATTACTGCGTTAACTGTGCAATAAACTTCTAGACTCAAGGGACCTTGGTGGCAGAGGGCTTATTAAGGTAACTTTAGGATAATGAAGAGATCCTACTTCTCCGCACGGTTATTTCTGGTCTTTCTAGGGAAAATAACCTTCTCAGTATAAGCATGTCTCTAAATAGCTTTCTTCTGCAGTAGAGTAAGTAGAGTAATGTAAGTAATGTAATCTAAGTACAGTATTGAAGTAATTTGGCTTTTTTTGGACAGGACATTGTAATGCGAACGATTGGAATATATGATTTGGGTTTTTTTTCTGACTGAAATAATGCAGTATGTTTTATCTTATTTTTAGGATGGCCTGGATTCTGAAAGAAGGAACAGGACAAAACAGGAAAGTGCTTGGCTCTTCAGGCTATGGTATAGCTTTGACCATAAGTATCCTTTTGAAAACACAGCTTAGCTTCAAGACATGAACTGTTGAGTTTGTTTCTTTTCCGTGTACCCATATGTAGGCTTAAGCACTCGAGGAGTCAAACATGAGAAAGATCAAGTATTTGACAGGTTCAAGGCACAGAACTGAAGCTTGAACTTGCTGACTCAGAAGATGGACCTTTCCTTTCTTTGATGCATGGTATGTCACACTTGCCAGGGGATGAAAATCAGTCCGTCCTAGCAGCAGAAGTTCTCTCCTAAACAATAAGACAGCCAATTAACTACTTCTGATACTCTGATCTGTTCTATTAAGCTGTTTTCATCTTCACTGATGCTCAGAGCACAAACTAGTTTTCCAGTTCATTGTACATGCCTAACCTCAAACTCATTGCTCTGAGGAGCCATCTGCTTTTGTGATGAAGTCCTCTTTGGAAGCCCATCATTGATAGAGGAAGTTCTGGAACTAAAAATCTATGTGTGATCCCAGCCTATTCCCTTCACTATATCCAGAATTTCCTATGGGTGTTAAAACAGAGGGTGTCCTTGTGTGTATATAGTACTGTACAACCTTTCTGAAGCTATTATTATACTATTTAGATAGCCTTGTTTAAGCTTCTGAGCAATTTTTGTGTAGCTGTCCTGTCTTTCATGCTTGTGGTTTTTTTAATCTCCTTAGCATATTCTTAATCAGTATATCATACAGGTGCCCCTCCTTAACAGCTTACACTTACTTAGTCGAAAATGGGAAAGCTAATCTTGTGGCCATGGCAAGTCACTTATACCTGGAAATTCAAAGATGTTTCAGTTCTTGAGTCCTAGTAACTTCTGGGGCAGTTAAATATATGTAAATATCTGTGACAGGGTCTTAATCTTGTTGCAGCTGGCATCTGAGAAGTGAGTCTTCTCACTGGGGTCTTGTCCATTGGTGGTTGAGATACTGCTGGCCTGGCTGGAGCATAGTAGTTTCCTTCCATGCCTTGTGCATCAAGATTTCCTGCCCAGGGAAACCCAGGTATAGTGCTGAAAGCATTCAGATCCTAATAGCACTTGCCTGTTCAGAATAAAATCTGTTTGTGACTGATGCTTTCAGAGGCAGTAGTATTGGGCCAAAGCCCAGAAGGGAGTGTATGTGCTAGTTTTAAATATTCATAAAAGTTAGTAATTTCAGGTTAACCCTTTGAGTTGTAGTGGCTGGTGTCAGTCTGTTGAGGTCAATTTTTGTTATTTAAAAAACAGACTTCTGTGGTAAGAGCACAGAAGGACCTGTCTGTGGCTGACTGCCTTTTTTTTTGTTTGTTTCCTTTTTAAGAAGGAAGCAGAGCTATCCTCTTCCCCTGCCTTTACAAAAGGGATGTGCCTGATGGGCTGGGGAGAGTAGTTGGCAATGCTGACTTCCCCTCGGCTGCTACTAGCACAAGTGCAGTCCCCAGCAGCTGCAGCAAGGGCAGGGGGAGTGCTGGGTGAAAATTACAGCTTGCTTAGCTGTTTCACAGAAACTTAAAAGATGCTGATAGTGCCCTTGCTTTTTCAGTGGTGACTAGCAATCTGTGGGGAAGATTTCTGTGAAGTTTGTCCCAAGAAAACTTTGACATCCAGAAGCAGAGGTGTCTTACTGTGTGTTAGAAGCAAAATTCCGCTCCATCTGTTGCAAGGGGGCATTGGCTGGGTGGGCTGAAATTGCATGGCAGGGATGGTCTTTAGAATTGCCACCTCTGTACCCATGGCTAAATGTCAAAATATTTTTTGCTGATGTAGTCATTTGGTTTGTGGGTATAAAAGCAGATTGTCTCAAAATTCACTCTTTGCAAGGGAACTTAACTTGAAAAAGATGCGAGCAAAATGCACTTGGCAGCATGCTCCAACGCTGGCTACCGCCTGCAGAGCGCTGTGTGGACGGATAACCGGGAACTTCATTCCTGTGGAATGCAGAGTTCGTTCAATGTCATGGGCTGTTCCCTGGGTTCACCCACAATAGTTAGAAGCAAGAAAAGAAGCAAACTGCAACTTTGAAGTATTAGATTTCTTTCACTGGGTTTGTTTACTACAACCGAGTCATTGCGTGCCTGTCAGCCACAGGACAACGTAGAGGCTGGTAGGTTAGTGTGCACGGGAACAGTTTATTTCTTTCCAGAACTGGGTGTAGCCACACTGTTACTGGGGGAGGGAGGGAGGAAATATAACTCTGCAGTGGCATAATCACGCTGTTATGTGCTCAAGTAAACACGCTATGCCAGGCTCTGCTAAAGGAGAGGGATACATCTCTGCTAAAACAGACCCTTTTTTTAACCCCCTCTGTCCCCAAAGCACCTGATCTGTTGAGAGTGTCAGGGAAACAATGTTATATTTCAGAAGTGGACTTGATTCTCTCTTTGCTTAGAGGCCTAAGAAAGTAACCAGAATACCTGCAATATATATTTACCTTTAAAATAATCAGACTGACTTAAACAAACCAACCCTTCTGCTCCTGATTCCTGACAATGTTTGGAAGTTGTAGCACTTTCCTCCTGAGCACTGTTCTTGTGCCACTCAAGATCAGCATAGTGCTCTGTAGCAGGGACACCTTTTTTGACTCCAGGGAATTTCCTCATGTATATCATTAGTCTGGCATACTAGCTTGAACAAATATGGATTTACCTGGGGGCAGACCTACGAGGAGAGCTGTAAAGACAGGTTTCCCACCCCTGTGCCCCTTCAAAGTAACCTAGGTAGCATTGCCTGGGCAGATGCGTTCCTTCCACGCTGTGTTACGTAGTTCTTGCCATACAGTTTTCCCTTTGCCTTTTCGAGACTCTGTGTGGTATGTATATGTGCACTGCAGAGATGTCTTTGAGCCTTACCAGAGTAAGATCTCTGGTTGCATTTCTGTGGCTCAGTGACTAGCTAGCAGTGGAACAGTTCAGGTGGCTCCATTGCCTGGAGGATGTTGGCTGGACAGTATTTCTTTATTTCCCTGTGTTGATCCACATAGGTGTGTCTCCTTGTTACCTCTACCTTGCAGTCTTGACACCATGCTCCCATCTTCAGAGCAGAAATACCCTTGGACCTATTAACACTAAAGCACCTGTACTTCTGCTTGGTCCTTTTGGCTCCACAGAACCTACCGCTGGAAACATTGCAACTGTTTGAAACTTTTAACAAGGGAGTTAGCTAGTTTCCCTTGCAGAAAATGTGGGAGTAAAGAAACTGCCCTTGAAAGGATCAAGGGGAAAATGTTGGGGGGAAGATGTTTTTCATTTATTTATTTACAAAGGCAGATTTTTTTCAATTGATATTTTATATAAAATTATTGCACAGTACATAGATCAAAGGCAGAGCCACATTTCTGTACCATTGTCTTTTTATTTTCAATAGTGGTTTTCAAGCACTGATGTGTTTTCCTTAACTTCTTAAGTTATTTAAAGCCAATTCTCACTCACAGTGGCCCTCCGTTAACCACAACTCTACCCAGCTGGTGTGGCCTGATAGCCCGCTGTCTGACAAGTCCCCAGGTTTATGATGTAAGTAAAATGACTCAATAATTCTGTGTATTGTCTTTTATTTAACTTCATCAAAGCAGGTATCAAAGCATTTTTTTTTCTTTTTAGGCAAAAGGTTGGTGTGATACGCGTATTGCAAGAAAGCGCTGGTTTGTCCTAGGCAGAAAAGAGTTAAGATACTCTTCCCTAAGGCAACACCTTCTGTTAGTAGAAAATAGAGATGATCTTATTGTTCAAATACTACATTAAAAAAATAATATTTAAAGATACTAGAAAATTACAGGCCTAATCAATAAGCCAGTTCTTAGTGAATCACTTCACAATATTCAGTCCCTTTTTAACACTTTTGGACAAAATTCTTTGCGGGTTAGTGTTAAGGTTGCATTGTGGTCTCCTTCAGAGAAGACATTGACACATTTACCCATGCTGGAAAGAAATCTGGTAGAGCTTCCCTTCATTGTTTCCACTGTGAAATTTGAGATCACATTTCAGAAACTGTTAATCAGTTACTTATCTCAGTCTAGCAGGCCACTATACTGTCTTTACAGCCATGTCTTGCAATAATTAATGCTTCATTCTCCTATTATTCTTGCAGGATCCCGATACATGTTATTCTTATCTGTACAGTGCTTCTGGAATCTACAACTTTTTGAGCCGCTTGTAAATAAAACCGTAGTACTATGTGAGATCACTCAAATTTTCAGGTTCTCTGGAATGGTAACATCTCTGCTATGTTCAAGTAGTCTTGGACCAGATTTCTATTAAAATTTTCCTAGAAGGTTATGAATTCCACTTGTAACTTTGAAATACTTCCCTGTATTTCTCTCTGTATCATTAGCATCTTACTTCTACCTGGTTAGAAAAATTTCAGAGAAGTTTTATATGTCTGCTGCCCATTTTGGAGCTATTAGTGATGCAGGAAATTGGCCTTGTTCCCATTTGTGCAATGCCACTGGAGATATTAAAACAGATCTGGGCTGGAAGGCATCCATCAGACCAGTTAGCCTACTTGTGTGTTACCCACGTGTCCGTCTACGTACGATCTTGTAAGATCAGTTATCCAGTAACTGAGGATCTAACCAGAATGAACATGCAAGATTTGGCCTTCATTTTCTGTAATAGTTGGGTTCTTTTTTTCTTCTTTATTCCTCACTCTTAGCTGCTACTGCATGTGGAAGCTTATTCTTTAATTGGATTGGGTCTGTGACACACCCCCACACACACCCTCCTTGGGATGTTAATGTCATCATTAAAACTGCTTACAAGGCTGCATACTTTTTAAAGGTATATAATGTGGAAATTTCAAGTTACATTTTTATATATATTCCTATTTCAGTGCATTGCTGCATTAGTCTTGGGAAAGAATATAATTTCAAGATTTTTTTTTCTAGTTTCTTTTCAAGATTTAGGAACTCTGCAGCTGCTTTATTGCTTTTCTTTGCATGGCTGGCTTTGCTACAGCACTTGCCTATACCGTTTTATTACTGGCTAAAAAACTGGAATCTTTTTGCCTTCCTATTAAATGCGGGCAAAGCAACTGAGAGCACCATATTTTGGGGGGGAGAGAAACTGCTTGGAATAATTACGCTTTTGTGAGATATTTCCAGGAAAATTGAATGGTACATCTGAAAGAATGAAAGACTGAAGACTTTGAATTAAAAAAACAAAAAAGTCTGTAAATACTCAACAGAATGTAACATAGCTGGAAAATGTGTTTCAAAAAGTAGTAGTAATTCCTGGATCTCATTCAAGTGCATGTCTAAGCAGTTATGACATCTGCATAGAGAAGAAAGCCCACAAGTATATGGCTGTACTGCCTGTGTATTTGTGTATTGTTTTCAGCTTTTGTTGTTTGGTTTTTTTCCTCTGGCTTTAGTACAACCTTATTTAGAAATAATTTTAATTTCCATGAGTGGGAGTACATCTTTTTAATTAGATGCTGAAGGGGTGTTTTAAAATCTGAAAGTCAAATAATCTTATTACATAGTCCACCTACAACCTATTCCTAAGTATGAGCTCATGTCCTCTAAGCTTGAATTTGCATGGCATACATGTACGGTTCTGAGTCAGCATGCAGCGGTGAGGTACAGAGGATTTTTTCCAGAGCTGTCATTACTATTACTTGCTGATGTTCTCCCATTGCTTTAAGGCTGTGCCGCTAGGCTCACCATTAAGTGTTTCCTACCCAAAGAGAAGCCAAATTGGAACTTAAAAGCATGAAAGGCTGCAGTAGTTACAGTATTTAAAATTATAATTTTCAGAAATTCACTCCTATTTTTTTCTCTCCTGGTGTTATCTTTAGTGCATGACCATTTGACAGGGCTTTACAATTTATCCCAAACTAATGTAGGTCACTTTTTTCTTCCCTTTTGACATGTCCTTTGAAACTTTTAGTAATTCTGTTTCATCAAGCATTTATCCCATTTGGAAGAAGCAGCTGTGTTAACACCTGCTCTTCCTGATGAAGCATTCCTGGGGAATTTTTTTTTTTTTCTCTTGTTTGTTCAGGGATGTGTTTCATGTCCTACCCATGCTCCCACCAATTTTTTTTTTTTGAAAGTTTAGTTCTTGCACCATACACAGTGTGACAACTTGGTATGAAGGTAGAGGGAATTGAATTATTTTTCTAAATATGCAAACCCAGTAAAAAAACTTCATTTACAGTCTATATAAGTCTTGGAGGAGGTAACTCTCAAAATGAGTAAGAAAACTGTTCAGTCATGCCCCCCCTCCCCTTTCTTAGTGTTTCTAGCTTCATAGCAAAAATTGTTTAGTTTCCCTGACGAATTTGAACTCAGCTGGGAGATAGAGAAACTCTAAGCGGAGCATCAGTAATATATTTTGCATGCATATTACTTCATGCTTTTGTTTTGGAGCTACAAAATAACTAACTTCTGATGCAAGTTTTGTCATCCGTGATGCCTGTGTTGTATTCAGCACCAGCAGCATACGTGGTATGCACTACCAGTGCTTTGTATGTGCGGTGTACTTTGCATGTGCTTCTTTTTGCACTGCCTTAAGAGAAAATAGACCGGCTTTGTAAGCAGTAACTCTTAAGTTTTAGCTGTTTTAACGTCTCCAGCATGCAATTTTAGGAGCATGAGTAGATTGTACCACAAATGAGACAGAATATGAGGTCCCTCAGGGTTATGGTCAGCACATCAAAGTAAAATGTAGTCTTCCATAGGGTTTTGGATTTAGGTACTTAGCCATTCTAGCTTGTCAGTTCAAGTAGTGAAGTTCAAACCTATGTTTCTTGAGTGAATTGAAGCTATTCCTTCAGAACTGTAGGGGACTGCAGAGGCCAGTTTAGGGTTATTCTTGGAAGAATTTCAAGTCTCTAGGGATCTACTTGGATACATTTCCTGTCTTTCTTGAAAGAATTGTTCATGCTGCATGAAGCACAGTAGGTTTATTCACCCATCCTCTCTGCTTGCAAACATAGCAAATCCGTATACTACATGGGATTGCTCATGGATGTTCTCCAGGGAAATATATTAAATAAATTGCCTGCTGCTTACAGCGCTATTCCGAAGTGAAATAAGTGGAACTTGGCTCGTACAAGGCAATGTTTGTTCGCTGTGTTGAGAGAAAGCTCAGTGTTTTTTCTGGAACTGATCATGTTTATGTACATGTAAGTATAGCCTGGGACAAACCAGCAAAGACTGAGTTAGGACTTGCCATATAGCATAAAGCCTGCAGCCTTCTCCTTTCACTGTTGTGCTTCCAAGAGCTTTTCGGCCTTTTGGGGAAACTCAAGTGTAGTGTGTGTTCTTACCAGTTCTTACCTGATAGGTGGCTGCAACGATTTGCTGTTAAATAGGATTGTGAAGACGGGAAATGCTTCAGGAGCTTGCTGCAGCTGCTTCACAGGCGGCCCTGGTGCCGCAATGCCTCCTGGCACACTGTTAGCCCTGCCTTCCCCTCCTTGGTGCTTCTCCAAGGGCAAACACTGTGAAAGGCAACTTGTGATACAGCTTCTCAGCTTCTTTGACTTCTTAGAACGTAACCAGTCAACAGTCGTAAACTGCTTGCTGCTTACTTGTTTTTCTGCTTTTCATCTTTATTTGAATGTCTCTTCTTCAAAAACAGAAGGTAGAGGAATGTCAGAGTTTCTTAAACAGCTGATTATTTTGTGTACCTTTTTTAATCATCTTGGTCTTGTCCCTCAGACTTTCACTTTTTTGCAATGGAAAGCTTGTAAACGCTTTTTCTGCCAACTATAGCTGAACCCTTTAATTTCTGCCTTTTTTCTTTTTAATATAGGGACGGTAGTTCACTATATTAAACAGTTCAGTGTTTTCTTTGCAATTAAAGAAAGCAAGTGGCCTAAACTGCATTTTTCTCTTTGAGAACAGTGCTTTCTATCACAGTAACCCTGTCTCTAATAAGCAATGATAAATTTGGATGCCAAGAAGGTTCTGAGAAATTAGCATTCATCCTAAGTAGGGCTTGTCTTGCACCTGACACTGAACTGCACCATTTCTTTCGTTGTTTTTTTGTAAAGTTCTGACATCTCTTCCAGTCTTCACATTAGTTAAATATTCTGTATCATCTAGAGACTTCTGTGGCTTTATTTTGGCTGATTATCATTCTGAAATAATGACAGGAAGCTTTGCCAGGAAGTTTTATTTAGCCAGGCACTGCATTTTTCATCATGGACAGGTTAATCAGAATTTTCAATCTTAAGTGCCCTGAACTCCGGTCCTGCAATACAGGTGGGGCTTTCTGGTCAGGCTGATCACAGGCGTTCTATCTCACATAGCCTGTGCCCTCCTTCCTTCACCAAAGTGGAAGAAAATTATATATTTTGAGAATGTAGCCTGATTGATGTCCAGCTTCCCAAGGAAAACAGACACTTGCGTTTCAGCTCTTTCTAAGCAGGGGGAAAATAATTGCTTTCAGTTGCAAGAAGGCAAGCTTATAGTACGGGTAGAATTTTCTTCAAATATGAGGAAGCCCCATTTTCTGACCAATTCAGCTGTTTTGCCTTTTACCAAGACCATGTTAAACAGGAGTGAAACATGGTACAATTACTTGCTGTTGTAGAGAAATTAAGTGTTTTGTTACACTTCAGCAATTTCTAGTCTCTGACCATATATTTTGTCCCATCTCTGCCAAAATAAATTCACAGGGTTTCGTGAGCCGCTTTTTTAAATTATTTTGAAAAGAAAACATATCCAAACTAGTTACAAAACTATGAAGCAAGCACTTTCTTGTATCAGTCTTTTGTACTATTATGGGTCAGGAGTGTTCCAAAGAACTAGGTCAAGTAATTCTCTATTTAGTACCAGGTAAGAGTAAACAGATAGATCAAAAACTAACCTAGCTAAAAGACTTTTAAACTATAACAAAAAATTGTTGAGGAAACCTTGAATGTAAAGAATTTGGGCCTAATGAGTTTTTACCAGTTTGCATGAATCTTTTACTAACGGACTTGACTAATTAGCAACAGATGCAGCTCTGACTTCTTTGTGTCTTAATGTGCTTGGTGACTTAATTGTGACTTAATTGTGCTTGGTCTCCAGTGTTTTTCCTGTACTGCCTTCTAAATTGTCATGCCAAAACCAGTGCATACAGCTTATCTCTCCGGTACTTCTGGTAAACTTCCAGTGCTATTAAATCCCTAGTTACCTGTTTCATAATCTAGTTCTTGGATTCAGCTTCCCCTCATCTCTCCACAATAGTAGTAGTTATACAGGGAGCAGTAAGCTGATTTGCAAACATTGAGTTCAAGGTTGTTTTTAACATTTCATAAGGTGGAACTTTACCACTTACTGCATCTGTATTGACACATAGGTAAACTCTTGTGTTCAGTTACCTTCTTGGCAAAGACCAGATGTTGTACCCTGTACAAAGATTTTTTTTTTTTTCTGCTTTTTTTCCAGAATCAAGAACAGCTTAGAGAAGAGGATTCTGATTTTATTCTGAATGATGGTGACCTTACTGTGACATATGGTGATACAACAATAACGGCAAACGGTTCTTCTGGCCCCCATACAGCTACCACTAGCCTTGACGGCAGGAGAACAAAAAGTAGTTCAGAGGAAGCACTGGAACATGATTTAGGAGCAGCAGATCATGAAGTTACAAGCAGGGGTACCCGGCTAGTATTTCCTCTGGAAGACAATGCATGATTACTGACTCAGTAAAAATAACTCTTGCTCTGTGGATGGATCAAGGAAGACTGCAGGCCACTGTGTCACTTGAGGTGGGGATGTTTATTTAAACAAATTAACGTGCGTAAGTGATTTTACTAGGATCTGAAGATGTCACCTATTTTTTACTCAAGATGCTGACAGTGGGGTTTTCTGAATGTCTGAAAATAGATGAATGAGAAAACTGATCATTCTCTCTTCAACTGCATATTGAATCCAAGTATAACTAGCATGCTGCAATTGTCTTGTTCAGCTGCAGCAGCTCTCTCTGAAGAGAGGTACATGAAAACATTGTCATAGAACTGAGTTTGTCTTGGCTTAGCTTGGGAATGTGAAAGAAGAAATGCAAACATGATAATTATTATGAGATAAAAAAAGGATGTGTGCTTATCTGAATGTGGAGAGATCCATTGTTAACTTCTCTTGTGAGGCTGAGGAGACTATAAGGTAAAATGAGACAGTGTACATTAGGACTACAGGTGCATTAATGCAAGACTCCATGGGCAATCTGTTACTGCAAGCTGTACTTAACGTATTTCAGGGAAAAAAGGGAAAAGATTTCTTCACTGGCCATGTGTTTAAATAGGAAGGCAATGAGACCTACTTGTCCCTTCAGCTTTGGGCATCTTGACTATTACTATTAGCCTAACTTCTAGTGCCTCAAAAGAAAAACATCTAACTTCCTGTGGTCTAAGACATACCTGACCCAACAAAAGCCCAGAGCCAGGGTTTCTCAATTAGAAGTCATGTGGTAAAACTTTCTCTCCCTTAAGGTTCTTAAAATTGGTTGAAGGTAGTTGGAAACATATCTTCAGCTGGGGAAAACAGCAGTTAAAAGGAAGAAGGGGAAAGGGGGAAAAAAAAAAAGAGGCAGTATTGAACTTGTGTGAAACCATGAGGTTTCATGTTGCACAGAAGAATCCATGGATTCTGCTTACAGTTCTTTTCTGTGACAAACAGCAAACATCTAATTAAATGGACAAACAAATACCGCTGGCTTTTTACCATTTGTGACTAAAAGAAAGGTGTTTACTCTTGTTCTCTTTCACAGAGTAGATGTGGGGCATTGCACAACAACATATAAGCTACAGAAGTGATGAACTGTAGTATCATCTTAAATGTGAAAAGGGAATAATCTTTGCCTAATATTTAGCCCACTTACACGTAGGCTAGCTTTAACTTATTGCTAAATGCTTTCTAATTTCAAAATGAGGAGATACCATTGTCTTTGCCAATAGCTGAAAACATGTGCTTCGAAGACCAGTTCAGCTATTTAAAGCATGCTAAAATGTGGTTTCATTCTTATGTCTCAAAAAGTTTATTTTTTTAAAGAGTTCTGTGGCCTACTAATGTGATGTAATATCAGTTTGTCTAAAAAGTGTCATTTTTCTTGCTGCCGTTTCAGTTGTTCCTCTCATAAAATTGTGTGTGAGTAAACACCCACTCTGTTTTTCCTTAACTATTAAACTTAACGGGCAAACTTTGGTACGAGAACTTACTGCTGCAGAGAAACATTGCAGTCATATTGTCTAGTCTGCTTTCTTTCAAATGTGTTCTCTAATGAGTGATCTACCTCCTTGTCTGTCCTTGTCTGTCCCTCCAAGGTAAATTTGTAAAGGGCATTGATCTGTAATGACTGTCTGACATTAAGAAAAGAGACAGAAGAAAACCAGAAGCTTTTTTGTGAAAAAATTGGAAATGCAATACAGTCTGAACTCTGCTCTTACATGGTAAAGAGGAACAAACCCAGATGAAGATCTCTGAGCAGAACAAATCCTTTTCAGTTCTCTGCTTTCAAGGAAGAAAAAGCAGATAGCAATGGTCCATGCTATTTGTACTGTTTACATGGATTGTTTTGTCTTTTTTTCTTTTTCTAAGTGCTCCAGCAGTAGAAAAAGTAGTTTCCTCCTAAATTACAAAACCAGTTGCATTCATTTTGGACAAGTCTTTGGGACCCATGCTGTCAATGTTGAGTGAGGACTTGAGACTTCTACAACATTTAGAGTTATTAGCTGAGTCATATGAACCAAATTTTGGGTTGGGACAGTGAAACTTACCCAAAATAAATGGACTTAATATAGTGAGGCAAATCTTTACATGCAGCTTGAAGCTGAAGCTTACCAAATCACTTTGACTGAAAGACAGAGCCTTATGCAGAGAGAGATCTGTTCTTTGGAAGAAAGATCAGGTACAGATCTGGAAGTAGAAATTCTGTTTCATTAGCTTCCTCAGGAAGACTGAATCTCTTGAAAGCATGAATAAACCATCCCAATGCAGGTGCTTCTCTGTCTGTGTTTTTAATTCCCATAGCAAAAATATACAATTCAATGAAGTTCACCAGTAAGCCCAAAATGTGGTTGTGAAAGAGCAGCCAAAATAGATGGATCATTGGTGAGAGGTAAGGAATATAATAGTCTAACCTTATCCAATGTGGTGAGGAGAGGCCCATATACCCAAGCTTAATTTTTATTTGTATATTATAACAACAAATTTTATTCCTTGATTGTTATCTATATTTCATTTTAAGGCTTCCTCCGAAATCGGACTTCACTGCCAACAAAGGGTAAGCTATAACGTCTAGTCTCTCCTTACTACTGACACAGACCCTTATACGAAATTCCCAAGGGACACCTTTACTGAAAAAGTGGGAAAAACAACAAAAAACCTCCCTCTTTGTCCTGAAACACTGCATATTTCACCCAGTCTCTAACAGATCCTTTTTTCTTGTGTATAGCCTTTCGAAAGAATAGTTCAGGCCACTTTCAGTTCCTTTCCAGCAAGATCCTGAGCTGGCAAGAACTTGACCAAACCAGCAGCTGTGTATTCTCTTATAAACTTGGGTGTGAGGTTTTGAGTAGAAAATACAGCTTCAGACTGTAATGAACAGCAATTAATACATGTAAGTATCCTCTACAAATTGAAAAAGGAAACCTGTAAGATGGTCTTCACTGAAAAAAGTATTGCTATGCCAGCATAGGATGTTGCAGCTTACGTGACTGCCCTTGTGCTTGGGACTGAGTGGTTTCTCCTCGTAGATTTTTTGCTTGCTGCATTGTCAACTTACTGCTGAAAATCTTCACTTAAAGTTGCCAAGGAATCTGCTAACTTCAATCCCTGGAGAAGGACAAAATGAAGTCCCTAATTTAATTTCAGTGCTTCATAGAAGCTGATACTGACAGTAAGGCAAGCCTGTTTTGGAGTTGCTTGAATTCCCATGCAAACAAGTCTGTCTGATTAACTTGTGTTAAAGGCCACAGCAATCCCCAAGCAGCACACTAACATTGTATTTCAACGGACCAAAAAGTTACCTAAACGCTTCTGTGTATTCATTTATAACGTCTGGTGGCAGGAAATGAGAAAGATTTTAATTTACAGCATTTAGAAAAACACAAAAAATATCTAGAAAACTGGCAGGTTTGTGCTTTTCTTGCTAGTTAATTGTGTTTTGAGTCGCCCATACAACACTACACACGTTTTGTGCAAAAGAGCAAATTCTCTTAACTTCCACGGGACTCGGGGCAGTTTATCAGTTAGAGTTGAGTAGCTATGAGCAGATAGACCCTGTGACTGCGAAGAGCACTACCATAGCAGCCTCGCCACAAACACAGGCATAGCCTGGATTTTTCAGGGTGCTTTTTGTGAGAGGTGTTCAAAGCGCTGCTTTACGCTGGCTTCAGCGGTTGCTCCGATACTCTGATCTCAAGTTATCGGAAAGGAGGAACACTATGACAAGTGTATTTGTGCTGTACGTTGCACGTCTGCTATGCAGAAAAAGGGTACGGTGTAAGCTGCCTTTTCTGATAAAGACTGAACAAGGGTAAAGTATCCCATACTTGGTGCTTGACCAAGTCTAGCCCTGTCCCAAGGATGCAAGTTTTTTGGCCTACAAAAGGACCGAAAATTTTTTCTCTTACACTGAAGGAATTGCCTTTGGGGAAAGGACTGCAGAAATTTTAACGGAAGGAAAAAAATCTAAGCTTTTCTGGCTCAATTTCCAAAGAGCTGATCTGAAACAAGTACATAGCAAAGGTTAAAATGATGTCGTCTACTAATATGATGGCTACTATGTTGTACTCCTGGGGGAAAGGAAAGACCTCATAGCAGGAAGTCTATCAACCTTCATAGAAAGCATGAGCAGCTTACAATAAGTAGGCGGTCAGATCCTGTGATTTTAATCTTTATAATCGGTGAGACAATTTGTAGATTGGTGTGGAAAGCAGGGCCCTTCTTGTGTTAAGTTCAATTTAACCTGAATTGCAGTCTCTCTTCAGACAGCATTGGTCGGAGGAGCTTCTTTGTGTCTAATTCGTAACAGTAAAACCCTGGAAACTAATACGCTTCACATGCTTTTCGAAGAAAGGTTCAGTGTTTCTTTTAACTCTGTTTGAAGTAGCTCACAGGAACAACATGCTTGACCTCAGCCTTGGCAGAGATGGGCTCTGCCTCTGCACAAGTGTGGGAATGGAATTTGAGTAACCAGAAGCCTCAACTTCATGTGCTTTTCTTTAAGATGCGGGTGAGGGGAGCGCCTTTTTCGGGGAGAAACCAGAGAACTTACAGATGCGTCAGCGGGGAGTATTCCTGAAACTGAACAAAATACTGAACTCATGACCTGCGCAAACTTAGAAGCAAGGGAGAAGAAACCATGAGCAGGAGGCAGAGACCATCCAGCAGGAAAGCAGGCTACACATAGTCCGTTTGGGGTATATACGATCTCGGCCACGATCAGTCACAGAAAGTAGGGCAGAGCTGCTTAGTGGCGTGAGCACATTCCTAAGAGAAAAACATGTAGAATAACAACTTCAAATGTCCCTGTATTGAAGAATCCCCCTTGTGAGAAGCAGCCCCTGTAAACCTTATTTGCAGTGCAGAAGGAGGGTCTCGCTTCCTGAGTTTGGGGAGGAGGGTTTAACATTGCGGCAGTGAGAAACCACGGATACTTCTTTGCCTGGGATTTTTGGGAGTGCTCTTCTGAAAAA